CGTAGGATCCCGACCGTAGAAACATGTAGTAACGAGGAGGGGGAGGCCGGCGAGGCCCCCTCCCTAGTGGGTTGATGCGGCCGGTACGACGTGTTGATACTTGGGAAGGTCATCAGTCTAACCCAAGGGCGTTTTGTATCACGAGAACTAAGGACTCCGTTAAAACCCAACAAAAGATATGAGCTGGCCCAAAGAATGACACGGGTGATCCCCCCAAACACAATGTTCAATCCCCCCAATCGAACGCGAAACCTGCGAGTAGACGATAGACAGGAAGCCGTAGACATTTTACCGAAAGGGGCTCGGAAGCGACCGTGATGAGTGCTCGAAGTGCTAGTATCGTGAGATAACCAACCCAACGAAACGAGACGCAAGCAAGTTATCCGCCACGCAACACCTAACAGACCTCAACACTAAAGACCCCAGGAACTACTGAGCGAACTCAGATATCTCCCCCAGAATCCAAGGCATCAAGGCCCATCATGATGGCAAAAGAAACGCTCGGGGCGAAGCGACGGCAAGGACGAGGAAAAGTACTTAGAACAAAGCGTGAAGAACTTATCTTCCTCGGCCGCATCGGCCTCCTTATATAGTGTTCTTCCCGCCTTTAGTCATGTGACCTAAAGTGGTCACATGTGCGAAACTAAATCACAACAAACTAGTCATGTGACCAAAGTAATCACATGCTCAAAACCCATAATCTCCTAGCGAGATTATGTGCGAAACTCATAAACCAATCATAACGCAATAACCAAGTCATATGACTCGACTGAGTCATATGCACGAAACCCATGACATCATAATGAGGTCATGTGCGAAACATAAATCATATGTGCAAGGCTTACCCGTAAGGCACACTCGTAAGACATACTCATCAGGCGCACGTCCCATGACTCATACTTGAGCCATGTGCGAAAGCATCACAAATCCCACACATAACTAATCATATAACCCGAATAGGTCATATGCGTGAAACAATAACATACCTGTGACTTATAACTATGTGTCACGTGAAAACCCCTTTCCTCGCTAAGCCACATTCGTGACACTACGACATGTTCTGAAACCCAGTTGCAACACTCCGTGAAGTTCGTTGGCTTCTTTATTAGTGCTTTTTTGGAGTTCTAGACTCTTCTGGTAGATGTAAATGTATTGGTCTCTAGTAGAGATCCTTTACCATTTAATACCATCTCTTTGTGCGAAATCGTCCTGTTATTTACAGCCCATGCCAAAGGTCTTATGTCTTTGGAGCCAAGTAACTCTCTGAGTAGTTGACAGAATCACTTTGTTCTACTTCCCAGACCTAGTCGAAGGTCTCCTCTCATATATCCTGCGAACAGGATCCAGTCGGACGGACGGCGGTGACATATACGGTGTTATTCTAATACCTTCAATTCTGTGGTAATATAGTCACAGGACGCAACTGAGATTGATATATATGATGACGCACGGGCCCCGTAAGGGAGCCGGAGGGGGGTGTTGGAGACCAGAGATTCCAATTCCAAGTGGGGTTACCCTACTTAGGGTGGTTCCTAGGTATCGGATTCTGGTATTCCTAACAGATATAGCTGTAGATAAGACAGATCATTTTGTCAATAGCAAAGACAATTGGAGCCAACTCAGTTCAACTTAAGAACTAGGCCATAAGTTTAAAGACTCTGCTAATCAGGGTATTACTATTGGGGATAGCACGCTTCCTAAGAAGAAATATCATAATTACCCAAGAGGGTGTGATGGTTTTCAGGGTCCACAGGTGTTCGCACCTTGGAAGAAAACTCAACATCACGAATTACGATTGAAGAAGTACATAGTTGTATGATAAATAGATGTAGTCCACGAACACGCAGACGTGGAATATAAATATTGAAGTGCCTCCCAAGCCTTAGACATCATCAAGCAATGGAGAAGAGACCTTAACAATATAATATTGTTTTTACAATTCTACCCTACTTTACCTATTTTACTTCGCTCCTTGTAGTCATAAACGAAACGATCAAAGTCCGAGCCTTCCTAGACTATCTCCTTCTACAGAAACGAATCTCGATTAGCCTAGACAACTTTGAAGTCTATCAAGTTGTCTCCGCCTAACATAAGGGGGTTCACAGTTCTGACTCCGCTGGTATACCTTGGTAGATAGGTGGGGGTGTAAACTCCCGTAGTTTAGATAGCATAATCTCCGGATTGTAAGGAAGGAGACCAGTTTTGCGGAAAGCGGAGATGATTGTAGTGCTCTTAAAGGCTTGGTCTCGAATTGAGCTGATAGCAGATAAGAATTCAAGCTTGTTGAAATCAAAACATCCTGTTCTTATAGCCTGCTCTACCGCCTTGGTATGATAGTGCTTGAGTGGTTGAAAAACAACTACATCTAAAGGTTACAGTAGATGAGTTGTATGAGGGGGAACACAAAAGGGAATAATCTTTTTTTCATCCCAGTAGTCAATCAACTCCTTCATGCAGTGCGATCCATAGCCATCAAGTCAAAGAAGCCTGTAAGCTCCAACCTGGCTCATGGTGGAAAAGTGATCAAAGTGGTACAACCACTTGAAGGAGAGATAGTCGTTCAAGTATCCGGTATCAGAATCACCAAGGAGGAAGTCCCCATCAAAATCTGTCTTTGTGTACCAGTTATCCTGGTATATTATACTAGGGAGAATCAATATTGGAGGTAGAATACTACCATCCCTACTAACCACCTCATAGGAAGTGACTAGTTCCCGATTGCTGGAACAGGCAAGATACGATTGCCAGTCAGGATCTAAGGTGATGATCCACTAATCCTTCCTGATTCTAATCCAGAAACCCGTCTCATTGAAGTTGTAGGTATCAGAGGACATAATCCCACATTCATCATAAATTTTTTTATACCGGCTAAACCAGTCCAAAAGATCCTCCAAGTGGTGAGTTTTTTTCCGGTCATAATCAAGCGACTTTTGCTTCCGAATATGGAACTCGGGATGTCGTTCTAGGAAAAGTGGAGCTCATGTTGGGCCGACAGTTGGGAAAGGGGCTCTCAGGTGAGGCAGGGCTGTATCTCTGTTTGAGGATCACATTGGCGCATCCAGTCACCATAGGAAGTCGAGCGGAGGTTCCAATACTATCTAGGCGTTTTAGATATAGGCAGACGGCCAATTCCTCCACTTCAGAAAGTCTTTTATTAGTCGAGGAATACTGAAACTTGGATTGACGTCCCCCCACTCATGCACGCAAACGACCTTCTGACACACTAAACTCACGGGCAATTGTGGCAATATTGGGCTTTTCGATTTCGAAAACCTTGGAGCAGGCAGCGCTGATCCTTGCATCAGTATCTGCATAGTTCTCAGATATTTTGGGTATGTGATCGTGGAGTTCTATGGGGCGAAAGGAGTTGGTTTTATCAAATCTTCCGTTGAGCTGTTAGGCACGCCGTAGACGTGCTGCGAGATTTTGGAACTGTGCGCAGTTACATAATCGGCAGGAACCTTGGCACGGTTACGGGTTGCGGTTGTTGTGTTATGGGAGTTTGAAGACACTAGATTATCACTGTAGGAACACTAATTGAGCCAAGTGCTACGCAGTAGGAGTTTGTCTTCCATAGTAAGGTTTGGCGCTTTTTTCTTTTTCATGTGAGCTTTCTACTGTATTGTGAGAGCATTGAGGTTGATTTTTCGGATGTTTGTTTAGCCGGTTTGTATTTATGGCGAGCCGAGGTTGGATCCGCCCTGGCGTGGCAGGGCCGATTTTTCTGCATGCCAAGAAAAAGAGAGATTAAGCTACCCTACTCGTACTCGTACTGTCAGAGCAATTGTGCAGCATGACAGTCTACTACGAGTACCAAATTATAAATTTATGCCCAACCAGAGCTCCTTTGAAATTAGCTAACACTATACGAAATCGCCACCATAGCACCTCCTCCATTTGAAATCCCCAACCTTATCCATAGTCAATTCCTTCGCTCAAAGATCGACTTGTACGAAGCAAACAATTAGCACCACGTATGGACCCCCGAGGGAACGGGGACCACCTGTCATCTGAAGCATAACAGTTGCTGAATTATAAAATGTCACGGGTCCCCCGCAAATTTACCTACGGCAGAGGAAGAGTCCACAGCACCGGAAAACAAGCAAAAAGAGGGACTTTCTAAAAACACCCCCGCAAACTCCCATGAACAGCCCCCAGTTATGGAGAGCGTCCTATACCAGTGCTCGAGTGCACCGGTATCTCTGTCCTCAAACGGGTGATATGGCTAGCCTCCAACCGCAAAGACCACTATCATACCGTCGGAAGTTACAGCTTGCCAAAGTGCCAGTGATCCTTGGTGGGATCGTTTTAAAGGTTAAAATCTGTTGGTAGCCCGTAGACGGCCGGCACGGTATCCTTATCATGAATCTTAAAAAAATTCTGGTATTGCGCCCCTGGAGTCCCGATATATCTCGACGATGGATGATGGGGTCAGTAATTGGGTGGTGGTATAATAGTTGCGGGTGCAATCACCGAAACCTAGAAGTATCCCTAACTACGATACCTGCGAGGAGGACAAAAACATCATCCATTGCTCCTGAAGAGGAAAATTCCACCATTTTCTTCTCCCTTAACAAGACCAGTTGCTTGTGGAGGTTTTGTGGCCCTTGGTTAAAAGGTTCAGTCTAGTAGTACGAGTACTGTACGATACCGCAGTGGGGTAAGTTAGATAAGTGATAAGCAGTGCAAATGTTCTGTCGACTGTCTGCCGGATTTGGGTAGAACGAGAAAAAGTGGACAAAATGAGGAAACAATAATATGGTGAATCATAATAACGACATTATCGTGATTATTATTATTTATTATAATGGATAGTGAAGGGGGACAAAGGGAAATGCTCAGGATTACAGGTGCCCCAAGCGATCACACTCTCGAGTCTCATCAGTGGTATTAAAGCGTGGGATCGAGGTGAAGAGGCTAAGAGCTCGGAAGGGTTAAGTTACTGTAGTCGCACCACTCACCTTGGCAACCTCTCTGTTGTACAAAACAAACAAACACCCATGTCCAAAAAAGTCCTCGAAAACAACCTCCTTACTAGCAGAAGCTCAACTTCCCCCACCTCTGCTTTTCATCCCGTCCCGTCCTCACCTCCATCCCATCAACTTGCCCCTCCATCCTTTTTCTTCCTCCTTGAATACTACACTTTACCTGTATACAACGAACGAACTCAAAAATGGTGAGTAGAAAGCCTCTCTCCCTTTGTGGCTCGGGTTACGGCGGGGGGAAAGGAAGAAAAAAGCTAACATAATTAACCCCCTTACAAAGGCAACAACAAACTACAAGGAAGCCTTCGCTCTCTTCGACAAGCGCGGGAATGGGCGTATCCCGTTAAGCTCCCTGGGCGACCTTCTCAGGGCTTGTGGACAGAACCCCACGAATGCAGAGGTTGACGATCTCATCCACGGCTCTGCACCCAAAGGCGATCGTGAGCACCTCCCCCTTTCCTTCAAAAACTAGTAGCTAATATTTGGTTAAAAACGCAGTGGACTTTGAGTCGTTTTTGAAAATCCTGAACCGTCCGAATGGGTTCCGTGATCCAGGGGAGCCGGATGAGTTTGTTAGGGGGTTTCAAGTATTTGACAAAGACTGCACGGGTTACATTGGGGTTGGGGAGCTGCGATACGGTACGCTTTTTTTCTCCCCCGACACTCGCTCCGTGTATTGTGAGCTAGTTGCTAATTCAACGGTGGATAGTTCTTACCTCTCTTGGTGAGAAGCTCACCAATGAGGAAGTTGATGAGCTACTCAAGGGCATGAACGTTCATGGCGATCAGGTTAACTACACTGGTATACACCTCCCTCTAGATCAGGCTCGAGTGTGTTTGAGGCTAATATCTGAATAGATTTCGTCAAGATGATTCTCGCAAACTGATTTTATTTTGTTTTTAAACGATGAGCATGTCTGGATGAGGGGACAAGCGCTGCCGGAAACGGCACAAATATTCCCCTTTTGGTTTCGTTATATATCCTTCTACCCTGTCTTTTTATTACTGCTGCTACAATGGAGTTCTCTCGCGAAATGCCGGACCAATTGGTTAGCTTCAAATAAGCACTTGGGCGGGATTAAGTCGATCCATCACATTATCACTCGGGCTTTTTGTAGTTTTTCACATAGTCACCGTTTTCTGCGCCAGGAGTACCATGCAAAGGGGCCAACAGCCTATAGACGGCACGGAGGCCATGCGTGACCCTTGTATTATATATCACATCCCAAAAAAGTAGCGAAGTAGTAGAAACCAAAATCCGCCAAACTGCCAACTAGAGTTTGTACGTCACCTTGCTCGCACCGGACATCTTCTTGAACTTGTTGATAAGTGTATTCGTAGAAGCGTCGTGTCCAGATACGTCTCCGGGCTTCTCGAGCTCAGAGCCAATTTTCTCTATTCATATTGTCAATCACCATTTCTCACTTTCGCTAGGATGGAGAACTCTTACTGGCAAGTGACTTGCCCAATTCGACACCCCATTGGTCGAACGAGTTGATGTTCCAGATGGCACCTTCAGTGAAGGTGAGGTGCTCATAGTAGGCGATCAAGGCACCAAGAGCGCCGGGGGTGATCTTTTGGGCTAGTATGGCGGTGGTTGGGCGGTCGCCACGGAATACCTTGTGGTTCTTGAGCTTCTCAGGAGTACCCTCTGCAAGAACCTGTCCTTCATCCTTTCCGACCATGAGAGCCTCGGCCTGCGCAAAAAAGTTGGAGGCCAACATCCTTATTCTCAGGTTAGCTTGTGCTGGCCCCCGTAAAGAGGGTGCCTACTTACAATTGATGCTTGTTGTCTGGCGCGACAGGGTTGTGAGACTCTGCAGCCAGAATAAAGTCAGTAGGAATAAACTTTGTTCCTTGATGAAGGAGCTGGTAGAAAGAGTGCTGAGCGTTGGTAGCTGGCTCCCCGAACAAGATAGCACCAGTAGTGTAATTTACGATGCTACCGTCACGAGTAACAGACTTTCCATTCGACTCCATGGACAGCTGCTGGAGGTATGCAGGGAAGCGGTGAAGGTATTGGTCGAATCTGCCCCAAAGCGTTTAGTATTAGGTATATACAAGCGCCGCCCATGAGAGGAAACTTACGGAGAGACCAAGTGAGTTTGAGCATTGAAGAAATTGCTATACCAAACGCTCAAAAGACCTCCAAGAATGGGGATATTCTCTTCCAACGGCTTGCTCAGGAAGTGATTATCAATGGCGTGAGCACCAGCAAGGAACTCATGGAATCTATCATAACCAATGTAAAGAGCAACACTCAATCCAATCGCCGACCAAACAGAGTATCTTCCGCCAACCCACGACTCGAAACCGAACATGTTCTGGGCGTTAATTCCAAATTTGGTAACCTCCGCCTCGTTGGTAGAGAGAGCAACAAAATGTTTTGCGATGGCAGATCTATCCCCATCGATACCCTTCTGCTTCAAGAACCACTCTTTTGCTGTGTTTGCATTTGTACAAGTTTCAGCGGTGGTAAAGGTTTTAGAAGCAACCAGGAACAGTGTCGACTCCGCGTCGCAAGACTTGAGAGCTTCGGTGATGTGGGTACCATCAATATTTGACACAAAATGCAAGGTCAAGTCAGGGTGTCCGTAAGGTTTTAGAGTCTCCGTAACCATGACCGGCCCACTGCGTCATTGTTATCATTCAAGTTCGTCAAGAGTGGCAGGGAGAACCTTACAGATCGGAGCCACCAATCCCAATATTCACAATGCTCTTGATGCGCTGACCAGTATGCCCCTTCCACTCACCGCTGCGAACCTGCTCCGAGAACTCCTTCATATGTTCTATTACGGAGTTAACGTCCTCAACAACGCTCTTCCCATCGACTTCCATAGTCTTATTCGAAACATTGCGTAAAGCCATATGGTATACAGCTCTCTCTTCAGTAAAGTTGACCTTCTCACCCTTGAACATTCTGTCACGAAGCCCTTCGACATCAGCCTCCTTGGCTAGTTTGATCAGGAGCCCAAGGGTCTCTTCCGTGAGAAAGTTCTTGCTGAAGTCAAAGTAAATCTCGTTTCCGTCGGCATCATTAAGGAACGAACGAGAGAACTTCTCGGCCCTCTTGGGATCCTGAGCAAACAAATCCGACAAGTGCAATGTCTTGACAGTATGATAGTGATCCTGGAGAGTTTTCCAGGCAGGCAATTCTGAAGCAAGACTGAAAGGCATGGCTTGTTCTTGTTTCTTTACCGTCAACGGTATATTCCCACATGAAACCTCCAAGCTAAGAAAAGCAAGCAAAAAAAAAAATCTCTTCATCCGCACAGAAGGGCAATAAAAAGGTGATACCCCCATCGTACAAGATGGAACAGCAGCTGAGCGGGGAAGCAGAGCGGGGTGCATCTCGAACTTAAAAAAGAACATCCTATAATAAAAATAGGGAAACGAAATTGAAAGAAAAAATTACAGAAATTATAAAGGAATCACAACGTACCTTGATTTGTTAAAATAGAAACCTTCCCTACACAAAAGGATATAGCGATGATTCCGAACACCGATTGTCTTTCTCCGCTTAGAGAGAGCAACTGTTGTCGATGGTTAACGCAATGAACGATAGCAAAGTTAAGATGGAAAGGGCGGAAGCGGAAGTATATGTTGCGTTTGACCAAACATAAGAGCAACCAAACCAAGCATTTGGTGGGGCACCCATTGCCTGACGTATGCACGGATAAACAAAATGAGGGGCCACCCCTAACACAAGCATCACTGCGCGATTTTCAGTCAAGCACCGAAGATTCTCCAATGGTGAGCAACAATTTGCTAAATTCCCGACATGCCCTGCCCTGCAATGCAGCTGTAAGGAAGAAAGGGAAAAAAAGAAGAAGAGAAAGAAGAAAAAAAGAGGGCCCCCTGAGCCCCACCATTTTGTTGCATAGTCTACCTCTGGCTGGCTCTGGCTCCAGAATGTGGGGGATTCTGGAGAGTGGGGGGGGGGTTAAGCAATTTGGTAACGCCGGTACAATAGAAGCACGGCGCAGAACATAGAGCACCTTGAAGTCCGATAATGCCCGGGCCCCATGCAGGTGGGTTGTTCTCGTGGCTTCTATCGTATCGTACCAGTATGCTACTCGGGGATTGTTTTTGTTTGGTTTTCGTTGGGTTAGTGTTTCAACCGGCATGATCCATATTGCTTCATGGGTTATCAATCGGATATCTCATATAATCATATTTGACCCTCCTTTGCCGGGATTGTGTTGAAGGAAGCTTGGGTGGTCCTGGGCTTTTGACTGCGGTAAACGCAGCCGTAGATGACCACTAAGTTACCGGGTAAAACTAACGGCGGCTTGATGGATTTAGGGACGCTGGATAACCTTGCCCATAAATTTGCCGTTGTCTGCGTCACTTTGTTCGGTTGGTGTTAGAAATATGGCGCTGTCATAGGCGGGCCCCCGAGGAGATATCACTTAACAGGTCCAGCCATGGGATTAGAAACCTAGGGACACAGCATTGTATGGAACCATCTGTAGACTCAAATTAACGCTAGTTTTTCTAGTGGCGCCGTACTGTACATACCCAAGTTTACCAGCCAGCTAAATGCGCCCCAATAGTATGCAAAGAAACCCGCAGTGAAGAAATGAAAACAAAACCCAAGATTCCGACCATGAATATATATATATTTTGTTACTTCCGCCCTTTGTATTTAACCCAGAGTGAATCCACAGTCTGAAATACAGCTGTAATGCCCCTCTGTTCCTCCTCACTGAGGCCCCTCTTACCCCATCTCTGCTGGGCCTTATCTGGATGCCATCGAATTCTGTCAACCTTCAAAATGTCTAGGAGGCCATCTTCGCCTAGGCAGCCCCTGATATCCATATAGAACCGCTCCAGAGACACCTTCTCGATATCCTTCAACTTTCCAGATTCAACCGGCCACGGAATATCTCCATCCATCTTACCAGCCAAGATCTCTCTCCATTTCTCGAGGTATCCCTTCTGTTGTTTCTCAACCCGTGTTTTTTCCTTGAGCCTTCTTCGCGTTTTCTCTTCTCGGCGTCTGGAGCGCTCTCCCTCCTCCCACATCTTCTGCTCCTCCTCATCCCGCTGTTTTTTAGCCCTCCTCGCTTCTTCCCGTCTGTTTCTCTCCTCGATAATGTGCTCGTGCGTCTTCTCCCACATCTTGGATCGTACGTATTCTGCGTACTCCTCATCTGTCATCTTCTCCAGCTCCCCGCGGCCGTCAGGGCGGGGATAGACATTGATAGGCTGACCGTAGACCCCCTCCCAGAATGCAGCGCCTTCGTCGTCCGCCATAGCATCGAATAGTGATTCTCGGAACGCATCTTCTGCAGTAGCGAAGTTTGCCGAAGCTAAATTGGGTATGTAAGTGTCGTCATACTCGGCTGGATCGTCATCGGGTGGTTTATGATGAGAGCGTTTGCGACGGCTTGAGGAATGAGAATGCGAGTGCGATGAAGGGCTACGATGGTGATGCGAATCATTCTGGTGTTTCCTTTTAAACTTGAATTTAGACTTTCGAGGCCGGGGTAGGTCGTTCGCTTTTGACTCCGGAGCTCTACCCTCTTTCTCTGGCGGGGGTGAAGCTCTTGATCTCGATTTTGATTTTAGCGGAGAGGTGGGGGGCGCGCTTGTCCTTAGAGGAGCAGGATCTTGCGTAAGGCCATAGAGGACTCCTAGTCGATCGTTGTTGACCTCGAAGGGGCGCATCTTGAAGTTGGAGTTGGTTATGGTCACAAGGTGTGGGTTGGGGATCGTTTAAAGGGAGCCTCATTGTGTAAGCCAAGCCATCAGTCCCGCAGCAACTGAGCGTACCACGTGATGCGGCTCAACCCTCACATCGAATTGTGAGGCTCCCCAGGCTTTCTCTTGCATCCCTCCCCCTACAACCCACGGTACAAGTGCTGTTGACAACCTAGAATCTCACCCAATCCAATACCACGATGTCAGCAGCAGATGATCCCTTTACCTGTCGGCTTTCCTTCACAAGGCTTCTTTCCCGACTAAACGCCTCTGCTGGAGCTTCAAAGCAATGTGCTCAATTCGCCCTCCGAAACCGCGAACTGGATGAGGACCTGTTCAGCGTGATACTGGAGCAGCTCCAATCGGTACTTCGATCCTTCTGATCTGGAGAGAACCTGCTAACAGTAGAAACCAGGAAGAGATCACAATGAATACACGCGTCAACATGCTCTACTTTATAGAGGTCCTATGCGAACACTCTGTGAAAGCTGACTATAGCGGCTACACCAATATGATTCAACGGGATATTCTGCAAGTAGTCGATGCTGTTGTTCCGAGCGATCCTGAGGGAGCGGCAAATGTTGGTACAGTTAGGAAAGTTATGCAGAACCTACGGAGCAAGGGGTTTGTGAATGAAAGGTCTATGGAGGAAGTTACTGCTCTCTTAAAAGAGAAGGAGAGGGAGCACAGGTAATTCTTGAGATTCTAGTCAGGATTGGGGCTATATACTGACGACTATTAGAGAATCCATTGCCTCCCCAGAAGAGAGTGTCTACGATGACGACGACGAGGAGCCCGGTAACGAAGGTAGAAATCCCAAACGCAAGTTTGACGATTCGATTATACAACAGCGGATGGAAGAAGATAGAGAACGGGTAGATACCGTTAATTTAAGAAAATGGGCTGCCTCTTGTACTAACTGTGGCATAGCATAAACGGCTCAGGGAAAACATCTGGGCCATTCCGTTTCCGGGAGATGGCCTTCCGAATCCCGAATTTGAAAAGTCGTGGGATCAAGTTAGCGACCTTAACGAGGATGACTATGAGATTATGAGAGAAGAGAATCAGATACTGGCAGCATCAATTGTATGACCTTGTGGGTATTTAGGTACAGGTTCATAAGGGGCTGGCGTTCCGGGATTTCGTACTATTCAGAAGGGTATTTACATAACTACTAACTAGCATAGTGGCAAAATACCCCCGATGTCCATAACATTGCAACTCTGTAAAATAATTTATACAAAAATAAGAAAAAGGGATTGTAAAGATGAATTTTCGGAGAAACCATGAATCTTATCCCGTGATTCATCGGAATATACACACTCCGCCAAATAATGGTTTCCGTAAAATATGCATTGGGGGTTAAATATCTCCCACTCTAAAAGCTCCCCAATATCCCTTACTCTAAAGCAGCCACAGCCCCCAGGTCCTTCAAAGTCTTCTGTATCTTCTCCGCCTCCTCCTTGACGAGGCCTTCCTTCAGCATCTTCGGTATGCTCTCTACAAACTTCTTTGAATCCACCAGAGACAGTCCCAGCAAACTCTTAACCTCCTTGATGATCTTCGGCTTGGAACCGGCTTCGAAAGATACGAGCATGACGTTGAACATTGTCTTCTCCTGTACCGGTTCGGCCGCGGCTTCTTCTTCTGCGGCAGCAGTGGGTGCAGCGATTGCCGGGCCTGCGCTGAATGATTGCAGTGCAACGTCGGGGATGTTCAAGCGGGACTGATATAACAACATTATCCATTAATGCAAAGGTCAGAACGAATGAAAATTCAGGAGGGGCGAACGAACCTTCAAGAGAGAAACCAAATCCGCCGTCTCCATGAGGGTCAAGCCAGAGATTTGGTCAACGATTCCGGAAATCTTAGGATCTGCAGTCGCAGCAGTGGTATTCCATCGTCGGGCGGGAGCGTAAACTACCAGTTGGGAAAGTCTCAGGCTGGAGGGGGAAGAACGTGCTATTCTGACACAACATCTTGACGCGAGGGCCATTTGTGTTTTTCGGAGGTATGTGATTTCGCCAAACTGAAATTGGGGATGGTGGGAGGGGTGGATTGTTTGGCGGGGTTGATTGGGGGGATTTTCGATGTTGAAACGATATTTTTTGTTATCCGAATGAGATTTGAGAGTTTGTGATGAGTCAGCGGGATGGATGGATGATTGCTGTGCCACAGAGTTTTACTTTGGTGGTTTCTTTATCTTACCTCCAATACTTGAGGAAACCGCTTGAACTTCCTTTCATTCAAACACACACCTTCAACAGTCAACACTCCACGCTCAAATTTTAGACTTCAGCGAAATTTTCATTTCTTTCTATCATGTCTGACGCTGGCACTCCTGCGCCTACTACTAGCGGCCGCCGTGAGAAGGTCGCCTTCCGTTTCTGTCGTGAATGGTATGAGTGTTCAAACGTTTGATGGACATGAAACCCTTTTTATTAACTTGATCGTAATAGCTCCAACATGCTGTACCCTCATGAGGTCTGTTTCGTCTGCCGTAATGGCCGAGGCGAAGATATTTATAGACCACTTTTAGGACCGCATCAATAACACTCTCATGTACCGCTGCCGCACCTGTCAAGCTACAGAGAGCGCGTCGAACAACTGTGTCTTTAGAAATACTCTAGGGGGGTCTACGGGTGAGACTGCTGGCGTGACTACGGATGTTGGATCTGATCCTACTGTATGTCTTCCAGGGGACCTGCTGGGATGTAGCAAGGAGCGGGAGTGAGTTACTGATGAGTGAGTAGTTGCCGAGGTCTATGAAGCCATGCCCAAAGTGTGGGGAGAACGAGTGCGTCTTCTTCCAGAGTCAGCAGAGAACTGAGGATACCAAGATGGTAGGGCTACAGTTTCCTCGTTGGACGGCAAATGAAACGGATTTTCGACTAACGCCTCGCAGAGATTGTTCCATGTTTGCTGCTCTTGCGGTACTATCCATTAAATACCCTTTGCCGTGTCGTGCAATGGCGTGGCGGCAGGTCCGTTTTTCCCTTAACCCTTCAAGGTTCGGCGTATGACGGGGGAATAATTTGATAGAAGTTCTTTGCATTTGTACTCTATTCATACTTTAATGCAGATAAAAGTCCAACTTGGTATGCACAGGTTTTACTTTGGCAAATTTATACATAGGCCGGGGCAAGGGATAAAATCTTTGACCACTTCTTTCTCTTGAGTTCGCGCCCAACGACACCTAAATCCATAATCAGCCATCCTCTCCCGTTTTGTATGTGGTTTTGGAGATTTGTGGGCCCACCACTCAATCTGGTCCCTAGTGGATCGCCACTCTTGTTGATAAGTACGCAGGCGTTATCGTCAAATCGAATATAACTCCCATCAGCCCTTCGATATTCCTTCTTTGTCCGAACAACTACTGCATGAGAGATATCTCCCCGTCGAACTTTCACGGCGGCCTGAGCAGCGGCGGAAAGATCGTGGCCCAGGGATCGTTGTTTCTGGATGACGACTACTATTTTATCGCCTATTCCACAGCCTTATCAGCCACGTATTATGCAAAGGGCTGTAGTAGAACACCGCTGGCGGCGATGGCGGTAAAATTGTACATACCAACAGTAGCGGGCCTTTTCTTCCCGAGCACTCGAACACATTCTACCAGCGCAGCACCGGAATTGTCGATACAGTTCAGCATCGACTACCGTAGAGACATAAAAACACATCAGCCGAACATTTGGATAGGTAGCGCGAAGTTAGAAGGCGTAAACAAACCTTTAATTGAATCATCGTTGTTGGAAGGTCGTGTTTTGAGGGAAAGGTGAGATGTGAAACTTTCCTAGAGGTGGTTAGTCGTTTCTGGCTTCCGGACCCTAACCCAACCGGTCTGGAGTGGGGGGAAGAACTCCGAAGAGTCTCTTGCTCCCCCCACGCAAAAGTTAAAGGAATTTACAGTGTAGGAGAGACCCTGAGTAAAACTACAGGGAGCAAAGTTTCTTGATTTTTCTCCATAAGTATCATACCTCTCACATCTTACGTCTCACATCTGCATCCACCGCTCCATACTCTCCACTCCTCGTGCGACAATTTTAAGCGCCACAATGGTTGGCGTAGTTGGTTCTTCGATTCCGGAGGACACAGAACATGTATGAAATGACTCTTACAATCTTAATTTACTTCCCTCGATAAGTACGAACGACTAACGTTTGACGACAAAAATTTTTTTAAAAAAAATAACAGGCGGTGAGCGTTTCACTACCAACATGGAAATCCATCGTCGGATACGAAGAAGGAGCAGAATGGGTAATCAGCAAGATGAAAACCGGCTATCCACGCTTCTTCATTCACAAGTCCATACAAAAGCTCGCGAGCACAATACTCTCCAGCTTCGGCCAACCCGGGGAGGAAGCAATGCTCTTCCCGACTCCCAGTGTCGCTGCGAGATGTCGCCAGTTCATCAAGGCCACCTCTCGGACTACCCCTGTGCCGAGTACCAGGGTTGTCGAGTTCGTTAGCAAAATCGGGAAGAGAAACGGTGGGGACGGGAGACTGATCCGGTCCGACCTTTGTGCGGTCATGTACCCTGCTAGCGAAGCTAAGGTCGCGAAGCAGTTTTGGCAGCATACGGGAGACGGGGTGTCTTCTCGTAGGGCAGAGTTCTGCCAGAGGGAGTTCGACGAAGGCTTGCTGGTTGAGAAGAGCACTATCTCTACCGAGAGCCATCCACGCATGAGTAAGGGACCGAAGAGGTATTCCCATAGGGGTATGCAGTTTAAGCCGTCTGCTAAGGAAGAGGAGGGGCTGAATATGTTTGTCGAAGAGAGGTTTGGTAGGAACTTGGATCTGGAGTTTGTGGATAGTGCCAAGCTCGCTATTCGAAGAAGGATTGCGCAGTCTCTCGAAATTAACATGGGGCTTAGGGATGCTTTAGGATCGTCGAAGGATGATGGAGGAATGATAGAGGGGTTTGCTGAGAATGCTGTTTACTTACATCCTACTGGGATGAGTGCAATCTTCAATACCCATAGATTGTTAATGGCTATTTTGGGACCCAATAAGAGTGTTTGCTATGGGTATACTCTGACTCTCCCCTCTGAGAGCTTTACTGACCTCATGCCCAAGATTTCCGTATATCGATACCCTCAAGATCCTGGAGAAGTTCGGCCCTGGATGCCACTTCTACGGTCACGGTTCATCAGAAGAGCTTGGTGATCTGGAACAGAAGCTCGAATCTGGGGAACGAATCCTGGCATTGTTTTGCGAATTCCCTTCGAATCCTCTACTCAAGGCACCCGACTTACAGCGTATCAAGGCACTCGCGGATAAATACGATTTTGCTATCGTTATCGATGAGACTGTTGGAAACTTTCTCAATGTTCATGTCTTGCCATACGCCGATGTTGTTGTTAGTAGTCTCACCAAGATTTTTAGTGGTGATAGCAATGTCATGGGCGGAAGGTACAATCTCCCTGACCTCCCCCATCATAAACCGTCCTGACGGGATTATAGCTCGGTATTAAACCCTAAAGGCCGCTATTACAAGAGGTTGAGGGAAGCCCTAACTACAGACTATGAAGATAATCATTGGTGTGAAGATGCCCTCTTCCTTGAGCGTAACAGCAGAGACTTTGTCTCCCGTATTGAGCGAATCAACAGAAATGCCGAAGCCGTTGCTGACCTCCTCAAGTCCCATCCAAGAATAAAGCAAGTTTATTATCCAAAATACTCTCCGACAAAGCCCTTTTATGATAACTGCCGCTGCCCTGGCGCAGGGTACGGCGGTCTTTTGAGCGTTACGTTTTATACCGCCCAGGATGCAATTGAATCTTTTGATGCCCTTGAGATTTGCAAGGGGCCTAGCCTTGGAACTAATTTTACCCTTGCGTCCCCCTACACGTTGTTGGCGCATTACGGCGAGCTAGATTGGGCGGCTGGATATGGCGTAGAAGACAACCTGGTGAGGGTAAGCGTTGGACTCGAAGAGACTGGGGAATTGTTAGAAAAGTTCAGGAGGGCACTCGAAGCACTACCATCTGGTGAATGATGGTCAAGAATAGGGCTGCGCGGAGGTATTTAACTGAGGATAGGGACGCGGGTTGCGGGTGCAATTTTTAGCAAGAATTTCGAGTGATGTTCTATGATGTATTGAGGGGCGCCAAGAGATCATGGGAGGAGGGCTGTGGATATTTCTCTATTTCTTTCTTTTAAGGATAGATTTACCTTTTAGGTGTTATGACAGATGTATCTTTCCGACAGAATACTATGGATATCAATATCTGCGTGATCATTATGACATGGCATTACATACGGGTATGCAAGTAAGCATGCAGCGTTTAGGATTCAACCACTCCAAGCCTGGAATTCCATAAGATGCCTTAGGAATTTAGGTTTTAGGGGATGATCATCATGCACACACGATAAGGTTTGATATCAAGTGGCTAGAAGACAGGCATGATACTGTATCATATGCAAAACATAATTTATGCAGTGGGCCAGCGCAGCTACCCGGCCTTCTGAAACACTCTTGACTTATCAGGTCCCGCGACGTCATTGGGTTAAGTCAAGTTATATACCAGTCCCAAGTTCAACCGTTCCGCTCATTCATTCGACCCGATGTCATTCCTACAGAGAGCCGGCACGAGACCACTCGTGAGATCCTTCCAATGCCATCGAAAACCACAATTCATACGTCCCCTCTCGACATTAGAGAATAATCCACACATAGTATCCCCCTCTTCCCATTCCTTCTCCCTATAGTGGCCAACACAGAAACTAAAAAAACAAGCAGTACATCTCCCCGGGCCCACAAGGCACACACATCCTAACCCTCCTCCCAACCACGCCCCCAAATCCGCGCCTATCGCTGGGAACAACCGGGGTCCTCCCGCCAACTCCAAACAGCTTCCACACAAATCCGCATTTCCTCACCCTCCTCCATGAAACTCTGCGCACCCACGCTCACAATTGTCCCGAGGTACAAGCCTCCGCCGCAACGTACGCATCTCCGGGCGGCTCAAGTATATTTGCCGCGCGCAGGACGCACGGAACGGCGGTGAGTAAAGGTGGGAGTGGAGCTGGCGGGGCGAATTTACAGGGCGGAGTGGGAGGTGGTGGCGTGGGTGGGTGGGCGCATGTTTACGACTTGAGGAATCCACCACCGTTCGGGAGGGTTGGTGATCCGGGAGATATTATCGGCAGTGTGGGGGTTGATGGGAATGGAAGGGTGGTGGAAGGGAGGTATGAGGCGTGTACGGCTTATAGGGTTGTTGCTAATGAGGGGATGTGAGTGTTTCATTTCCGGGGAGGAGGGGAGGGAAGGAGGCTAATTTTGATGGAGGGCAGACTGGGATTGAGTGGTTATTTAAGGGGGAAATTAGTGGAGAGGTTGGAGGAAGAGGAGAGGAAGGGCTAGACTCTTTTCCCAAGTGCAGTAAATCATGATAACTCACATGGTTAGGTTAAGTGGGTATGTGCATATAATACTTCGGTAAGCATTTTAACTTAGTTCATCGACCCTCTCCTGCTTCTTCTTCATGCTGGGGGTATATAATAAGAAGCGACTGAAGAAGATACACTTTGAGAAGAAAGAGAGAAAGGCCTCACAAACCACTAACCAGTGAAAGGATGACAAAAAAATTAGAAATAATTCCACAGCCGTTACTCCATAGTACTATAATTTGTATTTCCCAAGAACTTTACCCCCAGAAAACATGTGTCTCGTGGACAAACACAATAACAAAATGTTCCGACCCCTCGCTTCTCTACAATGGTGATGAAACCCTCACCAACCACACAATATTAGGCGCGGCCTCTGCGGCGACTTCAACTGGATACTTCCAAGTCATAAACTTCGACCACGCTATCCTACATGTTAGCTCCCACCTCAGCCATCAGGTGGATGTCCTAAACATACCAATATAAGCACACTTCCTCCCAACCCACTTCCCAACAAACGGTACAAGCACCATACTCAGCAGCAACTCCAACTGCTGCAAACTTTCCTGCCACTCAGCCTCCGCATCACCCTCATCGTCGTCATAGTCGGAACCGCTGTCGTGGCTGGAGAAGGAGGGGGAGGACGGGGTGGTAACGTCGATCATGGAAGACCCGATCATGGAGGCTGCCGGGGAGTATTCGGAGCCGGAGGATGGGGTCATGATGATGGAGCCAGAGTCAGAATCAGAGGTGAAGGAGTATTCGGACATGGCTTTTGATTGTGGTTCGTGATGGGCGGCTGCAGGGTTGCTGGCGTTGTACAGGTAGTCTATAAGAGCTTGCTTGGGTTGGCTGTGGTGGTGGGGGGTTGGATCTTGAATGATGGAAAACCTAACCCTAGCACGTGCGGTTGTCTTACCGTGGCTTTGTTAGAGCGAACCGGGTAACCCACTGTTGTTGTTGGGTGGAGGGGTACAGCACGGTACCGCATTGGGAAAAAAAAAATTTATCTTTGAGTGAGTGGGAACTTCCGTATTGAATTATATATATACATCGTTGTATGAGGGAGAGAAGGCAGAAAAAAAAGAAAAAAAATACAACACACGCAGTTTCCTCCCCCTTTCTCAGAAATAAGACAAATTCTTAGTCCAAAGGAAAGAAAAGAAGGAATAAAAGGAGGAACAATGGTGACAACCGTCAAGCCGAATACCTCCTTCGATACACTCAGACGGGAAGACCTATTCCGCAATCCACCAAAAGACAAATCTGCCTTTCCGGCATTACTGGGTGCCGTGAAGCCGCATATCGAGTCTTTCAATGCGATCACTGCCGAGGGTGGCTTGCTGGACCTCGCGCGGCAAGATATAGGTGTGAAATGTGTGTTTGATGGAAAGGGTGATGGGAAAGTGTTGGGGAATAAGCTTTCTCGTGAGCCGTTCTTGTATATCTGTGGGTGGGAGGAGGAATGCTAATTGTGTTTTAGTAAGAATTGACAAGATTTACGTTGGAAAACCAAAGATTAGCGAGAGGGATAAGACTACGCTGAGGAGAGAGATTTTACCTGCAGAGTGTAGGGAGAGACATATCACCTACCGAGGGAAACTCTCGGTGAAACTGGGATTGAGGATTAATGATGGCCCGTGGGTATCGCAGGATCGGGAGGTGGGGAATATTCCAATTATGGTGCGGGTGTGTATCTATCGCCTCTCCTCTCTTCACTACTCTACCATTTGGCACAACTAATAGGGCATAGTCAAACCGATGCCACCTAGAAAACCTCGCCCCACACGACCTCGTCGAACGAAAAGAAGAGTCGGAAGAACTAGGCGGGTACTTCATCGTCAACGGCATCGAGAAGTTAATCCGTCTGCTCATCGTACAGCGCCGGAACCATCCAATGGCTATCATTCGACCTTCCTTCACCGGCAGGGGAAAGTCTTACACAAATATGGGAATTCAAATCCGTTGTGTGCGGCCGGACCAGAGTTCGCAGACTAATGTCCTTCATTACCTCAATGACGGAAATGTCACGTTTCGCTTCTCGTGGCGGAAGAATGAGTACCTTGTCCCAGTCATCATGATCATGAAGGCTCTTGTCGAGACCAACGATCGGGAGATCTTCGATGGGTTGCTGACGACGAAGGATATGGAGAATACGTTTTTGACGGATCGGGTGGAGTTGTTACTTAGGACGTTCAAGGGGTATCAGCTGCTCACCCAGAAGGAGAACTTGCAGCACTTGGGTGAGAAGTTTAGGATTGTGATGGGGGTGTCGCCGGATCTGAGTGATGTAGAGGTTGGGAGGGAGTTCTTGAAAAAAATTGCTTTGGTACATCTTGAGGATCCTAGGGATAAATACCGGTTGCTGCTGTTCATGGCTCGGAAGCTGTATGCCTTAGCGGAGGGGACGTGTCAGGCGGATAATCCTGATGCCATTCAACATCAGGAAGTTCTCCTCGGAGGGTTCCTCTATGGCATGATTATTAAAGAGCGCGCAGAGGAGTATTTGGAATCGATTGTGAGAGAGGTACAGAGAGAGGTCCAAAGAGGTAACGTGCTGGATTTCAATAATAAGGAGCATCGAACAAGGATGTTCCAGCGGACGAGTGAGAATATAGGAAAAAGTCTGGAGTATTTTATCTCCACCGGAAATTTATCTTCTCCTAGTGGTCTAGATTTACAGCAGGTTTCGGGATTCACCATTGTGGCGGAAAAGATCAATTTTTATCGTTTCATTTCGCATTTCAGGATGGTGCATAGAGGTAGCTTCTTTGCGCAGTTGAAAACCACCACTGTTCGAAAGTTGCTGCCTGAAAGTTGGGGTGAGCTGATACCCGTGCCTCTGTATTTCACGAGTTGCTGAGAAGAGCCTAGGATTCTTATGCCCGGTGCATACGCCCGACGGAAGTCCTTGTGGATTGCTCAACCATCTCGCGCATAAATGCCAAGTCATAACTGCTCCTTCGGATGTTTCTTCTATTCGCAAGACTCTTGTTTCGCTAGGGGTTACATCACCAGCCACTTCACCTCTTCCTCACTCTGCGACACTGTGTGTTCAGCTAGATGGGTGTATTGTAGGTTGGTGTTCACCAAAGCTCGCGAATGTAGTCGCGGATACTCTGCGATTCTGGAAGGTTGAGGGGAGCCACGGCGTACCACTTGACTTGGAAATCGGATATGTTCCTATATCTCGGTGCGGTCAATACCCCGGTATCTACCTTTTCTCACAGCAGGCGCGAATGATCCGGCCAGTCAAGTATCTACCTCTGGATAAGGAGGACCTGGTCGGCCCATTCGAACAGCCGTATGTATCAATTGCTGTAACTCCGCCAGAAATCTCCCCAGGAGAGTCAACACATGTTGAATTCGATCCCACAAATATTTTATCCATCGTTGCGAACATGACACCATTCTCCGACTTTAACCAATCTCCACGTAACATGTACCAGTGCCAGATGGGTAAGCAAGCAATGGGCACACCTGGGACAGCCTTGCGCTATAGGAGTGACAATAAGATATACCGGCTACAGACTGGACAGACACCGATTGTGAGATCTCCATTGTATAGTGAATACGGCCTTGATAATTTCCCTAATGGGATGAATGCTGTTGTTGCAGTCATTTCCTATACTGGGTACGATATGGACGACGCTATGATTCTAAACAAGTCGGCCCATGAAAGAGGCTTCGGTCACGGGACAATATACAAAACAGAAAGGCTTGGGTGGACTGAAGAAAGGCGATCTCGTGCGAAAGAAACAAAATTTATTTTTGGGTTCGCTAATCCTGATGAAATCATTGCCAATATTGACGAACTGCATGAGATGGATGAGAGCACTGAGGAAGCAAAATTATTCAAAAGAAAGGCCTACCAGAGGATCGGTATCCGCCAGGATTGGCTGAGAATAGTGGATATGGACGGTCTCCCGACAATCGGCCAACTAGTCAGAGACGGCGACGCAGTCGCAGTCTACCACGCCATTCCAAAAGAAGGTGACAGGACAAGACCCGAGAACAAGGTATTCATCTACAGGGGTAGCGAAGATGCATACATCGACGAAGTCCGCCTTCTAGGCTCTGAAGGCGGCGACAGTAAACCGATGCAAGAAATATCCATCAAATACCGAATCCCTCGGCCTCCCAACATTGGCGATAAGTTCTCCTCTCGACACGGACAGAAGGGGGTCTGCTCGCAAAAATGGCCGTCGATCGACATGCCCTTCACAGAGTCAGGTATGCAGCCGGACATTATCATCAACCCGCACGCTTTCCCGTCACGCATGACAATAGGCATGTTTGTCGAGTCGCTAGCTGGGAAATCCGGGGCCTTGCATGGGATCGCGCAGGATTCTACGCCGTTCAGGTTCGATGAGGAGAATACAGCTGCTGATTACTTTGGCCATCAGTTGAAGGTTGCCGGGTATAACTACCACGGGAACGAACCGATGTACTCCGGAATTACGGGGGAGGAGTTGCACGCTGATATCTACATTGGCGTCGTATACTACCAGCGCCTGCGCCACATGGTCAACGACAAGTACCAAGTTCGAACAACCGGTAAGATCTCTGAGCTCACACATCAGCCTATAAAAGGTAGGAAGAAGGGAGGAGGTATCCGTGTTGGTGAAATGGAACGCGATTCGTTATTAGCCCATGGAGGCGCCTTCTTGCTCCAGGATCGGTTGTTCAATTGTTCAGATTATACACAGACTTGGGTTTGCCGGGCTTGTGGTAGTTTCCTGTCCACGATGCCAAGCGTGCGTGGGAGCAGTTTTGGGAGCATGGTTCGATGTAGGCGGTGTGCTGTGCCAGCTACCGGACTAGAAGAGGAAGGGATGATCTGGGAGGATGGATTGGGTGGGAGATTTGTGGGTGGGAAAGATACGACTGTTGTAGCGGTGCCCTATGTTCTGAAGTATGTCTTTTTCACCTTGAGTATCACAATTATGAACCTAGCGCTAATTTCTATGCAGATATTTGGACGTGGAGCTGTCAGCAATGGGTATTGCAATGAAATTCAATATTAGCCCTTAATTCGGGATAGACAGGGGAAGGTGGGAAGAAAAGGGTCTTAAAAGAGAGCTTTTGTATATAGGGTTTGGCAGCTGGCGTTTGTTGTAGTATCATTACGTTGTGTGGTGTATTGATATCATTGCATGGAAATACTGAATTGCATGTTATCATATTATTTATAATATATGTTGAGTTTTTAAATAATAGAGTGATGTCAAGTTATTGGATAAGAGATGCGCATCCCACCCGGCTGCATTAAGCCATTCTTGGCCGACACCCTGTCAAAGACAAATGTCGTGATCGCAGTTTTTTCCATTGATTGCTCTTTATAAAATCTATGGCAATAGGGGTTGCTATCACATGATACCGTAGACTACTCGTAACTACAGCATCCGAGTCTCGCACTAGCAAACCTACAGCGAAACCCGCCCGCACTGCCCCACCTGAATATCTCCACCACGAAACACCAACCAAAAAACCACCAACATTAAACTCCAATCCTTTCGAAATGTCCAAAGTCTACGTAGCAGTTATCGGTAATCCCCATACCCCAGTTTAAATTTGCAATTGACCGACGAACCCTCCTTGCAGGCGCCGGCGGCGTTGGCAAATCTTTCATAAGTCAACTAAACGCCTACGCCCTCCGCAGCAAGAAGTACACGATAAGCACAATTCTCATCTCACGCTCTTCGAAAGCTCTCCTGTCGAAAGACTACTCGGGACTAAACCTGACCACCTGGGAGTCTGACATCTCCAGCAGCAGCGGCGTCAAACCCCCCAGCTTCCCAGACGAAACCCTCAAGTTCCTAACCTCCGCTCCGGGCCCAATGATTCTCGTTGACAACACTTCCTCGGAAACGATCGCTGAGGAGTACCCGCGCTTCCTGTCTTCGGGGGTGCACCTCGTCACGCCGAACAAGAAGGGCTTTTCCAGCTCGCTAGCCCTATTCAAGGCGATCTACGCCGCGAGCGAGGCTCAGAATGGTGGATACGTATTCCACGAAGCGACGGTGGGAGCGGGGCTTCCGGTGCTGAGCACGCTGAAGGACTTGATCGATACGGGGGACGAGATAGTCAAGATCGAGGGTGTATTCTCGGGGACAATGAGTTACCTGTTCAACTCCTTCGCTCCACTATCGCCTTCTGGTGCTGAAAAGTCGTTCTCGGCTTGCGTCGCCGAAGCGAGAGAACTCGGGTACACAGAACCGGATCCGAGAGACGACCTCAACGGCCTGGACGTCGCGCGAAAGTTAACGATCCTGGCCCGTCTCTCGGGGCTGCTGGTCACGGAGCCAACGTCCTTCCCCATCCAGTCGCTCATCCCGAAACCTCTAGAGTCCGCCGCCAGCGCAGAGGAGTTCCTGGCCGGGTTGGCTGGCTTTGACGGCGAAATGCACAAGGTCAAGACTACGGCGGAGAGCGAGGGTGCGGTGGTCAGGTATGTTGGCAGCCTGGATGTCGGGAAGGGTGAGGTTAGTGTTGGCTTGAGGAATTTTGATAGGGGCAGCACGGTTGCGGGATTGAAGGGGAGTGATAATATTATCAGCTTTTATACTAGAAGGTATGGGGAGAGGGCGATGATTGTTCAGGGGGCTGGGTGAGTTCTTCTCCTTTTTTTTCGATGGGAGACGGTGGCTAATAAGCGTTTTTGCCTATGGGCAGGGCCGGTGCGGATGTTACGGCTATGGGCGTGCTTAGTGACCTTATCAAGGTTCTGGAGAGATTGAAGTAGGTATCATACCGGGCCCCGGCGCTACACCATCGACTCCCAATTGGCGAGGATGGGGGGAGCTGCCTTAGGATCGAAATGACAAGGGGAAAAAAAGAAAAGCTCCTTGTTATATAATATCATATCATACACGTATATGTGATACCTATTCCAGCCCTTTCCCCAGTTTATCTAAAGAGCAACAGACCTGTAAAATACTATAATACCCACCACCACACACGCAAAACTCCCAGACCTACACGAAATAATGCCAATCTACCATCCCATCAACCAACCTCCAGCACCTCAACCAATCTACGAACTCAATCAACAGTACTAAATCTGCATAAGAAAACCTCTCTCTAAACCTCCATTCAGTAAACAAGTTCACGCGCTCCACTTGTGATCCGACCTCGCTCCCATCCACACATTGTAGATAGCGCTCACCACACGAACGAATAAATGGGTCAAGGAAAGGCAGGAGGGGAATAGGTTGGTCGAGGCAGGACAGACGAGTGATATATAGTGATTGTGATAATTTTTCTTTGTAGAGAAGTATCGTATCTACTCGCGGGTGTTTCGTGATGAACTTCTGGGCGGTGGGAGTGGAGTGCTTGGTATATGATCACTGGTATAGGTATGGTGGCAGTAGGTAGAGGGATGAATGGATAGGCGGTTTGTAGCGTAAACTTGAATTGCATAATTAGAGATACATACCATCAGTCGGGGTCTGTATCATGTCTATTAACCACCGGGCAACCAACTAAACACCGTAAACACAAGCTTTGATATATACAAACCACAATGAAAAGACTATAATGCATCCCCTCATGAAAGTAAACTAACTAACCACCCCTCCCCCATCTCCCCTCCCTCTCCGCCCTCCCTTTCTCCTTCCTCACCTCCCTCTTCCGCTCATGTTTTTTGATCTTCTTCGCTGCAGCTTTTTCCGGATCTGTAACAGCCTACAAAATGTCAGCCCGACCTACCACCACCACTAATCGCAAGAGAAGGAAAAGCGAATATACCAGAATCGCCCTCTTCCCCTTCCTAACCCTCCTCCTCTCGAGCGCTTCGCTCTTAACTTGACTATAGATGATAGCAAATAAAGTTGTGCCTAGTTTTTCCGCGATGGAAGATTGGAGTTCTTGGGCTGTTGGTTTGAGGTCTGCAGATCCAAACATCATCATTAGTGAGCACTTTTTTCTTTCAGTTTCCAGACCAGAGGTGGTGGGACTTACCTTTCATGAGGTGCATACCATCCACTTCTAGCACATTATATAATGGCCTTACCAGCGTCTTCGCCAGTGGTTCGAGATCTCCCTTCGGGAGGAGTTGGATTAACGCGGCAATCCACTGCATGGCAAATCTCTTCCCTAGGAGGCCCTTTTTGATGTTCCGTTCGCTACGCAAGATTGCGGAGATTCTCTGCACAAGCCATTCCAACGCCGACCTTCTTATCCTCCCCTCTTCCTGCTGGTGCTGCTCCTCCTCAACGTCGTCGAGTTCAGGATCATTCATGGGGACGGAGGATATAGCCCCCACCCCCGCGGCGTGAAAGCACCTTGTCAGGAATAGTAAATTCTTCACCACCTGAAGGCCTAATTCCTCGCTTAACTCCGGGGAATTCAGGTGTGAGGAGGCTCTGTGCGCGATGTGGACCATGGCTTCCGCCGAGAGGGTTAGTCCAGCGCCGTTGTCCAGTGGTGTTGTACTGAGAGTGGCTTTGGCGGCATACTCTGCGAAAAGGAGGCCTGTTAGGCGCGCCGCTGAGAGACGGACCCAGGCGTGCGGAAATGACAGGCAGTCGTGGATGGAAGTCCATGCGGGCGCCTGATCGGCTGAGAACGTGGTTGCTGGGAAGTGCAGTACGATTCTGGCCCATGTTTGCAGGGAAAAGTATAAATTCTCCCAGTGCGCGTCCTGGTCGGTGCTAGATGCTCGAATGATGGATTGTAGTTCCCCCATGACGAATTGGAGGTCTCTCTTTGCGGAGGTTGGAAACGCATCTAGATACAGTCCGTAGATTTGCAGCGCCGAGCGGACAAGGAGTGGTTTCTGGTCCTGGCCCAGCCAGTTCTTCATCAGCATCGTGAACGTCGAGAGGTTGTCTGCGTCGGCGCGTTCGAGAGCCTTTCTAAGCAGTGCGCCGGCCATTTCCCGACACTCTGATGAGTCGTCGTTTATCAGGCGCATGACCAGTGGGACGAAGAAGGTTCCAAGGACCTGTTGGATGAGGCTGTCGCCGACTTTTGTACACAGGAGATTGACCACTTCGAGGACGGATTGGCGGCCAGATTGGTGGACGTAGTCCAAGTTCTTGACTAAAAATGCCAATTGCTTGTTCAATCGATCCCTGCCCTGAGGGTACTCCATCAGGAACTGGAAGTACACGCCCCTTGCCAGATCCCGTACGGAGCGGGTCTGGTTTGTGACCATGATTGCAGCGACGCTATCCAGGACGTCGTACACCTCCGGGATGACAACCTTGCGGGCTAGCACCGCCTTAAGGAAATTGAAGGTGGCGCCTTGGCGGTCGGGCTCTTCCAGGTCGGACTTCACGCGGGTGAGTAGATATCCTATTGTACGTTCCTTGATCTTGACGCTCCTCCGCTCTCGCAGGACAGATGACATCAGCTTCAGACTGGCTTGTGCAAGTTCTGCATTCATCGACGGACAAGATTTGATAAAGCTTAGCGCCTGCCCCATAAACACCTCCGCACCCTCGTCAATAGAAGGAAGAGGCGTTCGAATAATTGTCGTGAGAACTCTCAACGCAGAGATCTGAACCTCCTCATACTTTGATAACAAAGCGTCCCCAATCACGGGAATAAAGTTCGCCAAATTCCTCGACGTCATTAGACCATCATGTTTCTGCAGTGTGGTCCTGAGAATATCCAGCGCGAACCTGGTAAGTTTATACATATGCGAGGAAGTAGCCACCCCCGAGGCAGCCTTTGAGGGAACCTTTAGATTGACCAAGTATCTCTGCGTCTTCGGATCAACTTCTTTCTCCCGGGCCTCGGCCGTGTCTTGTCTGTACCCCTCGTGGATAACCTCGTAGCAGAAGATGAGCGTCTTCTCAGACCCGACCTCTTTATTCCTTAGTAACCCGACTGTAATTCTCCGCAGGAGCTCGTCGATCTTTTGTGACATTCTCAGATTCATGTTCTCCTTTAGTAACGCACCAATAGGTCGAATGAGACCCCCCAAGTACGGAAGTGTAGTCACCGACGCAATAAGGTCCATAGAATCATAACTCTTACTACTCTTGACTTCCCGCATCTTGCTAATATACCCTTCCGCATCCTTTTCCATACCCGTAACGCCGAAGATATCGTCCATAATAACAGACACCATCTGACCGACGCAGTAATCCAGCGCTCCCGGGGAGTACGTCGGCGTAACAGAGACAAGAATCGAGTGCATAGTGAATGACAACACATGCAGTTGGTAGCCGCGCAAAAGAGCACCCCTCAGCTCCTTAAGCACAAACTCAAAGTACTGCGGCCCAAGCAGCGTAGTAATCTCTGTCAGCGTCTTCCGAGTCATATCCCGCGATTCTTGAGATCTACTTCGGAGGATATGGCACACGTCCGTGAGAACAGGGGGTAATCGAAGACGAAGCATATCGTCAGGCATAAGCTTCAGCAACTTCGCTATCGAAATTGCAATCGGAACTCTCAAGCTAACCGTCGACTCCTCCTTCTGATGCAGATACTCGCTCAATGGCGATAGGAACCCTCCGCTAATATCCTCCGCCAAATTTCGCTGCTCCGGTAGTGACTCCGCGAGCCGATTCATGGCATTCCCCATGGGAACATCCCCACCTCCATCCTTCACCATCGCCGCAGCATTACCCTTCGCAGCCGTAGCACGGGCCAGCGAGTTCACGGTCGTGCCTATCAACCGAACGACAATCTTCTCCAACTCCGGCTTCGATTTCAGGTATCCCGTGTACCGTCTAAATAGCGCACGATACTGCGTCCACGTCAACTGCTCCGCCAGCGCTCCAATGGTGATCACCGTTTCGGAGGCAAGATTATGCGCGTCTTCCGCCTGATCGAAGACAAAATGCTCCACTAGGGGAAGGAAAAAGTGCGTGATATTCGAACTCTGGGTGTTCTCCCTCCGCGAGGTGGTGGCTAGCCTTCGCAGTGCGCGGAGCCTGCGGTGCTGCTGGATGTGCAGGATATTATTGAAGAAGTTAGCCTCCTCGTCGTCGCCGACGAGAAGCGCTTTCATGTCGCTGACTTCTTCCCAGAAACTGCATTCTTTGACTACGTGAGCTACGATGGCGACGTACTCCATCCGTACAAATTCGGATTGTTCACGAGCGCCGTTTTTCAGCGCGGGCATGAGTGTTTCTGACAGGATATTGAGGTACGCTTCCTTCTCTTCGGTTCCCGATTTCTGCCCGCAGCTCTCGGCGAAGCGCTTGAGTGCGTATGAGGAGTTCGTGCGGATCGCCAACTCTTCGTTATCGCGGATGAAAAAGAGCATGTTGAATATGAGCGGTATCCATTGCTTCGGTGAGAACTGTAGGTAGAGGTCCTCGTTGATCTTACCATATGCTCTAAGGCGTTGCTCAAAGTCTGGCTCATCGAGTCTTCTATCAGAGAAGGAGTTGAGTTGCCTGGATAATTCCGCGACTTGGACGAGCTCCTCGTCCCGTTCGGCAAATACATTGAATACGCCCGCCAACGTCTCTCTATTCTCCCTATCCTTAAAGAACCCGAATAGAGAAGACACACATCGGAAAGTATCTTCATACAACTTGCTCTCCTTCTCCACAACGCATAATGGAAGAAAGTGCAATAAAATCTTGAGGATATCGCCCTTGGCCTTAGGGCTGACCCTCCTCGATGGCTGACGCAGCAAGAACACGGAAAGCTCCACCAGGTGTGTAGTCTCCGTGTCGCCCGACACGAACGGCGCGATCTTAGAAATCGCTTCAACAGCTTGCTCAAGAACTTCTTTTCCGGGGCTCTGGTGCAAGATGTCGCCCAGATTGACTAATAGGACGTCGACATTTGGTTCTAGGAGTCTTGGTCCGACACCGCCTTCTGAGCCCGCCAGTGAGACAATCTGTTTGACCATTTTAATGATGAACAGGACGACTTCGTCTTTTACACTCTTGTTCGCGAGGCATGCTGCTATCTTGGAGAGTACTGTTTGGTTGTAGTCTTCCAGGAACATGACAGTGTCCTTAGAGTTCGCCCATGTGGAGAATAGCTGTAGTAATCCGGAAGGGCTCTGGGAGGTCTCTATCGGGAGAGCATCCAGTCGGGGATTGACCAACTCATCGAAAATAGCCGGCATATAATGTGCCCATGGAAATGTAGGACAACTGCTGAACAACGCGCCCAAACACTTAACCCCCCCTTGACGAATCGCCCGAGCAGCCTTCACCGCAACAGCATCATCCAGCCCATCTATTATATCCTCCCGTGAATCAATGGTCTTTGTAGCCATGACCAGACAATACAGAAAAGCATCAACAATCTTCTCCATAAACGGCAAAAGTGTGGACCCCAACTGGCGAATCATATCCCCAGCCATCCTTACGAAACCCATCTGCTTTCTGTTGGACACATGCGCAGTGCCGAGTGCTTCCATATGAAGGATGTACCTCTCCGGGCGCTTCTCGACGAACCGTCCAGACACCTCTGCAAGATTTCCAAGCGCAATTTCAATGAATAGCTCGCGCTCCCATTGTTGAAAGTTTACTAGGGAAGCTAGGACGACTGTCCTTCGGCATTCCATGCCCTTCTTTCCGGACGTTGCGTTCTTCCTGGATAAAATTCGCCCGTAGAGTAATCGCAGTAGGACTGGCATGAGTTTCTGCCGATGGTCATCCTGGATCATGGACTCATCCTCACCGATCTGGACAAAGTGCGTGATCTCATCGCGGAACCTCGCGTCATCGAGTAAATTTTTAAGGTTATCTTCATATGTTCGAATAGCAGGGATTCTCCAAGTAAATATGCATTCAAGGACTAGTGTCTGAACCTTCGGATCTCCAGAGGACAGGAGGGATAGAAGTGCAGAATATACTGCGTCTGATTTATATAATGATCGGGGGTTTGTAAACCTAGAGAACAATGTTAACATAGCGGATTGTTCTTTTCTCAGCCATTTAGATTGAGTTTTGGTCTCCTCTTCGTCCTCGCCGTCTTCCGTGTCCTCGAAGGTGGACCACTCAAGGAACATGGGCACCAACTTCCTGCTCCGCTTTTCCGCGATGCGCGGGACTTCCGTGAGGACCTTCAAAGCCTGCATTCGGGCTATCGAGGTAGATAGTGTCGGCGTTTTCAGGTCCTAAACAATTAACCAAAGACATGCCCAGGGGTATCACGAGATCAACGTACCTTAGCAAACTTCCTCTCCAGATCCGCTACAGCTTCAAACCCGCCCATGACACACTTCTTCGCAACCTCCTCGATCGTATTCAAATTCGAGCACTCAAAACCATTTAACGAGGCCTTCCCACCATCACTCGTTCCGCTATCGCTCGCCTCGGGTGTCTCGCACTGCCTCTCCAACCACTCAAACGCGAGCATAGCCACCACCTCCTCATCTCGTTCAGCAACCTTCGAAAGTGTAGCCGAGGCATCATCCCACACCGGCGAAAAGTGCACTGTTAACAGACCAAAGCAGAAATACGGCACAACCCTGCTCTCCCAGGACCCCTTTGCGGCGGAAGAATACTCGCCTGCTAACCTTCGGACGTAGAGCGATATATTCCTTGCGTTGGAGACCTCTAACGGCGAGTTCTCGATTATCTGTGCGGTGCTGATGACGCATGAGACTTGCTTCCGGGGACTTTTGGCAACGTGGAGGAGTTCGAGACACCGTAGTGAGTGTGAGCGTATGTCATGGGAAGAACTGGAGAGATTTGTTATCAGTTTGTCGGCCATGGAAATGAGAGCTTTGTCTGTGAGTTTCTTGGGCGTTGAGAGGGAGAAAAAGCCGACGACACCCTGGAGGAATACAGCATTGTCTGCTAATTTCGGGAATGCTACAGCCAGTGGTTCTTCCAGATTCCGCGATCTCATTGATGGATACTTAGAGGACATTGTCAGAACCTTTCCCGTCAAGGACGCGAGCTTGGTATTCTCTGGTAACGAAAATAAGCCATTGAGCAATTGTTCCAAAGCATCAGCAAGGCCACCAGGAAGCTGGTCCCCCTGGAGACTATCCGACAGCGAAAGAATAGCATTAAGATACTCCCAAATCTTCACTGCCTGGGCCCTCAAGGTATCCTGATCACCACCACCCCCAATGTTCTCGAGAAACTCCCGGATATTATTCATTGCCCCGGCCGTCACCGGGGACTTATCCCCCAGAACTGTCGCCATAGTAGTCCTATCGGTGTCCTCGGAAGGAACGAGCGATCCATTCGCACCTAGCTTCGGAATCAGATATAGCAGATTATCTTCTGCAATCGCCCACTTGGCAGTAATAAACCTAATCCCCCCAATCCTTAGCATTGCTCCCGGAATCACAAACTCGCACTCACGACATACCTCTGAAAATATGGCAACATAAAAACTCTAAACCTCTCCACCCCCGTATCCGCCAAAAGCTCGCAAAACGGCAAGAACAGCCGTCCGTCTTGAAACTCCCTGACAGAATCCATTATCCGTCCTAGCCGGGCAATCACAGCCTCCATATCAGCAGTCTGCATCACCATCGCCACGGCCTTGAGCGACTCCCACATAGTCTCTTTAACCCTCTCCCCGCTGCCGCTGCTGTCATCCGGAAGTCCCATAATGATCTGAGTGTTTGCGACTGCGACTTCGGCGGCGGTTCCCCAGTCTGAGATGCGGTTTCCTTTTCTGACGGTGAGGCATATGTAGAGGAGGCGCGCAGACATGCGAGTACTTAGTTCGTCGTTGGGATTGTTGATAGCATATACAACTCGTAGGGCTGGATAGAAGGTTTCGTCGTTGGTGTGGTGAATGAGTGATATTAAAACTCCTTCAATTATCTTGAAGCATCGACCACCGATATCTTCGCCCAATTCTTTAGCGACTTGTATTAACGACTCTAGCACTATCGGTGCTTTAGAATGTAACCCCCGATCAACGCCCTAAACCCCAATTAGCCATTCACAGCCCTATCACCCCCGCTCACTCCCGGGAGAGAGAAAAACCTACCACACACCCCTCCTTAAACAACCCCATCAACCCCTCCATATACCCAGGAACCCAAGCCCCCTCACACTCCCGAAGGTCTTCAAACACAGCTCTGGCCAAATCCCTAACCACTTCCGCCCTAACCCTCCTAACTAGAAACCCGATAGCTTCACCGGCACACCTCCTCACAAACCCCCTCCCACCACCCCAGCCAAGCATGCCCCTAACAACGCCAAACAACGGCCTGAGATCCCCCGCGAGCAACCTCGAAAGGTATTTTAGCAAATAGGCCAGCGCTCCGAACACCCACTCGACAACCTGCGCCTCTACAAAACCCTCCGCGACCAAAGCCGCCAACAACCCCACACTCTCTTTGAAGAAACCCTGAAACTCTACCCCCAGATCATGCGCGAACTGCGTGAGCAGGTCCAATAACGGCTCAAGCGCATTGACATCCCTGGTCTTGATCCCCTCAACAAGTAGGCCAAAAATCGTCTCTTTGTGATGCAAGATATGCGGCAGCGATTCCGAGAGCGGCAGCACCGGCCGAACAAACAATTCCACGAACGTAGTGGATAAATTCAAATCGATCCATTTCTCTAGCGCGCTGTGGAAGAACGACCTCTCGAATCCTTCGTCCAGGACCCGGCGGCGAACTTTTCTTACTGGGTCGATTTTGATATTTTGCAGCTTTTGGGTGAAGGATTGGAAGGTGTGGTTTTTCGTAGACTTGGTGCCGCCTTTTTTGCCGGCAGGAGGTTTCATTGATGTTCGCGTCATTATTTGTGATTTTTCCATGATCTGGTGGTCGAGTTCCTTCGTGGGAAAGTTGCTCGATGGTGGGGGAAAGATTTTTCCGAAACTCTGTTGCAGCTGTATTTTTTTTAATTTTTTTTGAGGCTCTGCCAGATATCTTGGCGGCTATGCCGTTTTTGTAGATGGAGGAAATTAGTTAGATTAATTTAGTTCTTGGCGCCCCTGCAAAACTCAACTATATAATAAATTCAGTGATGTACTAATACTCCACTCCCCACGAGCGATTAAAGATTTGGATAGGCCAACCGGCACAAGTGATTACTGTAAAAGTGCTAACCCTTGGTAAACTGCAATGAATGAATTCGTTCAAGTAAACACTGTGAATTCTAGTGATACTATCATACGAACATACCATAACCTCCCCGAACTCCTTTAACATCCGCCATACTTGTGTCGATTCCCCATCCAAATCTTCACATTTGTCATTGACCACTGCGTAGTACGGTGCAGTAAAGGTCTGGCACGCATCACTTAACACTCAATAACTTCACATCACCTCAACACCCCATAATATCTGCACATACTACACAGTGAGTGATCAGTCATGAATTAACACCATTTCGATATCCGCAAAGGTGCCGATATCAAATATTAAAACGCCGTTCGCACGCAATGTCGTTGAATTCATATCCAAGGCTACCAGAATCCCCCCACAGCTCACAGCTCACAAACCACTCGCCGACGTGAAATTATTCCAACCCCTCTCACTCCTGGATATTAAATACCAAAGCTAGTTCATCTCTATCAAGAAAGGAAAAAGAAAACATATACAGTAGAAATGGAACGCCATCCCAACTCCCACTTTCATATCATTGCTCCTAGCAAAAGACTGGGAACCTGTGCACATGCAGTGTAAAAACGCTCAAGATAAGAAGGAAACGAGGAAAATTAGCCCGGGGTAGAACCCTCTACTTGGTATGAAGGAAAAACATGGAAAACGAAAGAAACGTGACCTAGGGCAGATGGTCCGGTAAAATGTATCATAGCTATACACCAACGCCTTCGCTCGCTTTATAATGGGGTATTTCAAGCTTCTATCTCATCGTGGTCATAGTTAGTCCTGCAAGTGGAGCCTTTTCAGTAGGCACAGGTGTAGTAGCACGGGAAGTGGGTGCACTTCTATTATGCGCCATATGGCTCTTCACAAGGTGGCCTGCAGCAAGAGCTGAGCACAAGCTGAGCTCTCCAGCCAAAACCGCAGCAGCAACAATCCGTGCGAGTTTACGAGCGTTATCTCCAGGGTTTGTCTGATGGGCTCCGCGGACGCCCAAAAGGTCAAGCATGGCGCCCTGGGGCTCAAGAATAGTACCACCACCGATGGTACCAACTTCGATCGAAGGCATAGAGACCGAAATTTGGAGAGCACCTTCAGCAGTCCTATAGAAATGTTGGATATATATTGAGCAGTAAGGGATGGATGCAAAGGCTTACCTCTTCATGACAGTGATACAGTTGGAGGATTCGACGTTCTGTGCGGGATCTTGTCCAGTGGCCAAGAAGACAGCGGTGACGATGTTGGCAGCGTGAGCGTTAAAGCCACCAACACTTCCAGCCATTGCACTACCAATCAAGTTCTTCGAGATATTCAGCTCAACCAAAGCATTGACATCGCTCTTGAGGACACTCTTGACAACAGCAGCAGGGATGATAGCCTCAGCGACGACACTCTTACCGCGTCCCTCGATCCAGTTAATAGCGGCGGGCTTCTTGTCAGTGCAATAGTTTCCGGAAACAGAGACAATGAACATGTCGTCAAATCCACATTCTGTGCTCATAACGTGCAGGGCATACTCGACTCCCTTAGAAATCATGTTCATACCCATGGCGTCGCCGGTGGTAGTTCGGAACCTGATGAAAAGATAGGTTCCGGCAAGAGCAGTCTTGATAGTTTGAAGTCTAGCAAATCTAGAAGTGGAGTCGAAAGCCTTCTTGAGTCTCCTCTGTCCTTCTTCGGAATCGATCCAGTTCTTGGCAGCACCGGCTCTACGAACGCTCGGGAATTCGACAACAGGTCCTCTGGTCATCCCATCTCCAGTCAAGACGGTAACAGCCCCACCGCCGGCATTGATAGCCTTGCATCCACGGGAAGTACTGGCGACCAAAACACCCTCAGTTGTAGCCATAGGGAGATAGAAAATTTCACCATCGATGTTCAAAGGACCGGCAATACCAACTGGAAGAGGCATATAGCCAATAACGTTTTCACAGCAAGCGCCAAGAACTCTATCGTAGTCGTAATGTTCGTGGGGTAGAAGGGAGCGTTCCAAAAGGCCAGTTTTGTCCATAGTAGCAGGCGTCCTTGAAATGACAGATCGCCGAATGCGGACCGCGCGACCAGTGTCTGCAAGAGTCTTTTCCAAGGCATAGCCGGGGATCTTTCCGCGGAGAGACAATTCCACAAGCTCTGCGTCGTTGAGCTCCCTCGCGCGCTTTTCCTTGAGCATTTCCTCACATTCGACGAGCGTTCTACCAACTTCGTTCCCGGTTTCCTGTCCAATAGGCAATCCATTCTCGATGCTGTGCCGAGTTCCGGCTCCCCCACCACAAGTACAATTCACAGGGACAATCCTCTCAACCACGGAGGGTGCCATAGCCATATCGACCAATCCATTGGCTGTAGTGCTGGCTTCATATTCCCGACTATGGCCGGTCTCCTTGACACTCCACCTTGCGGCATTGAAGAGGTATCCATTAAGAACCAAGCTCATTGCAAGCGCCACAAAGATCCATTTACTCAAGACAGGGTCTTCCAAGCTCCTCAGCAAACTTTCAACTACCTTGCCCCCCATTCCCTCGGCAAAGAGGTCAGGTCCGTCAAAGGAATCGCTGGAGTCATAGCCATGGCCGCTAGTCGTTGAGGAGAAAGCTTTGGTGCTCAAGTGCCTAAGTTCGTATTCGATAGGCTTCAAAACAGTTATGACCATTGGGACCTTGTCGGAAATCATACTCTCCAATGATGCGCCAGCAAGGGTCCAGTCAACATTGACGGGCTGCTTTTCCGTAGCAATAACGGTCGAACTCGAGTTATCCCTGAAGGGAAGGGTGCATAGGTTGAAGATATTGACCAGAACGAATCCAGTGACCATCAAAACCTTAAACTTTCCAACACTTGAATCCCGAACACGGTTTCCGAACACTCCAGCATCTTCCACCTTGGCGGTGGCGTCCCCCCCATCATTCGCATCCTCGCTATCGATACGAGGCCATTCGTTGGACCTAGCCACGTTCTCGGCAACCCTCCTGCTGACGCCATCTTCCTCAAGTGCCTTACGGAGAGCCACGTGACGCTTAATTCTGTTGATCTCGAGCTTAATGACGAGGATGGCGGTGTAAAAGGTGAATAGAAGGATGCAATCGAAAGCCAAAATCCATGCAGCCAAGAAACAGAACTGTCGTAATCCACCCTGCACACCAGACGCAGCTCCAAGAGAGAGAATAATGATTTCGATTATGTAATCACGAACAATCTCAAAGCCCTTATCCCGAACAGCGGCCACGATGGCTGCCTGGATAGGCGCAGCATTTGAAGAACCAGCCTGTCTAGCCTTCTTCTGTGAAGCCTCGAGAACAGCTCTAGTCAGGATGATAGGTTTTTCGAATCCGATAGTGACAACCAAAAAGGGGAGACCTTCGGAAAGGAGAATCATGTTAATCGGAACTCCCATCTTGTGAGTTGCGATAGAGGCAAAAAGGAAGGCAAAGGTCGAAGAAAAAAGTACAGTCGTCGCCAACCAGAAGTTGGATCCCAAACGTCGCATAGACATGAACAACGACAAAAATGTCAAGTGCATGGACAAGTATCCAAGGAACACGATGGCAATATCAAGTGGCTCCGCGTTCTACGGCCCAATCAGCATATATCAAGAGCTGTGGATCCCAATCTATCCTCACCTTGACATGCTCGATAAAGCTGTTTGCGGATTCATGAATCTTCTCCGCCCAACCCCTCCCTGTGTGGTCTAGCCCAACCTGAACCCAGCGACGACGACGACCCTGATTATCATGGCCGTCGGCAGCCGGCAATTCGGCAACCGAGTCCACGAAGGTGTTAAGCTCGGAGTGGGGAATGGCATAAACGGCGGACGAGAGACCCGAGGGAAGAGCAATTGCCGAGCTGTTGGAAGGTACCAACACCGAAAACTTTGATCCTACGGGGAATGAAAGGGTCAAAAGAGCCAATTCCATAGCAGACTACGCATTGTTTAAATAATCAATCAATCAATAAAAAGGACAATTAAAGCTGGAGATTAGAAATAACAAGAACACACCTTATCTTCCATAGCCCGATTTCCAATCTCCTTCCATTTCCATTGAGTTTCCTCGCCGAGGCCAACTCGAACACTTCCATCAAGGAGTGCCCCTCTCTTTGCACATCCGAACCAATTCTTCCCACTTCTCTCGAACAAGCTATTCTCGAGAAGCGAAATATAGGTGGTTGAGGCCAAAAGAGCTATTATCACGATTGTATGAATGGGATGTATACAAGCGCTCTTGGAGAGGCCCGTAACCATGGGAGTAAAAGGGTCCCATTGTGGAGGGGGTTTCTTCGTCGTTAAGGACGGAGGGAGCAGTGGAAGCTGCATTGCGACAGTTAATGCGTTGTGCAGTGCAGGCGGTGGCGAACGAACTCAATTTCGAGGTACCAGAAGGGGGAGGAAAGGGAGGGAAAGAAGACAAGAGAGTTCGTCCGATTTTCGAGGCCCTTTCGGGGGAATCTAGGCTACGGATTATGGTACCCCTTGTCAATCCAAATTTCATGGCAACGCCTCCAATTTTTTTCCCTCGCCCCTGAAAATCCCAACGAATAAGAACAACTCACAACAACGTAACAATGACACTGGTATTATTATCCCGCTTTGGCTGGAGAAAAATTTGCTTGATCCAAAATATGGGGGAAAGTCCTATCTTTGCCCCTATTATTTTGCAGGTGTCCCGATCTTCTTGCACGAGCGGTATGACAAGTACCGGTAGCGGGTAAAGTGTGGTAATGTAGCTTTAGTACGGCACCCCGTTGAGTACAGTACCGGTAGTACGATACCGGCAGTACTGTACGAGTATCGTAGAGGGAGTGTGTGGGTGTGCGTGCAAGAGGTGAGAGGGCCGCACCGACACGGCAACAATCGTACAGTAACTATGTGTTGGACTAAACCCAGGTTTTATCTACTCGGGTAAGATACAGCAAAAACTGGCACGAGGCTGGTCTAACGGTCAGTCCCCAGGGCGTCGGGTTGGAGTCAAACCACACACCAGCAAAAAAAAAAAAAAAAAGACAACAAGATACGATAAGGGAGATACCGATACGGCAAATCAGGACAGTGAAATCAAGGGTCCGGACTGGTACAGTGGGTAAAAGGCGTAGGAGATTCCAAGTCCGCACCACATGGACAGCAATCAATTCACAGCAAAGGGCGAGAGGATAGCGGATCCATGACCCTAAAAAGGCAAACGCAGGGCCAGAAGAGAGAGAGGGTTGGAAGGGTGCCTACATGTCCTGGGGCGGCTCAACAGTTCCAGGGTCCTATGACAAAGGGAGAGGGGAAAAGAGCAATACCATACAAGCCGATACTCGACTCAACCGACCGAACGAACTTTTGGGGGGACAAAAGGCCAGTTCTATGGGAATGGAAAAGCATTGCTCCGCCACGCAGCTATCGATGATGCTGGCGCTGGGTTGGTGGTGGGTTGTACTCGTACCGAGGCAATACCGGTAGACCTTGTACTGTACGGGCGATTCTCAATTGTTGGTGAAGGTCACACGATAAAGACGGTGAGAAATAAAGAGAAACATCCTCGCACGGCACAACAGAGGAGCAGGCATTCCTTGGGGCAGCTTGGGTCTTGTGGACGCGTGTCTCTCTAGTTCACAAGCAAAATTTTTCCCCGGTGATGATTAAGACGCTCAGGACTAGCTAATCCCGGGCCCTCACCGCAGAATACCAGCAGGGTTCAACTTCTATCATGAGCAAGATAACACAACCATAAAAAGCCTTAAAAATGCTAAATAATATTATTATGATGCTTTCCTAAATGAATTAGCCACGCCTAGATGCATCTATTAACTTTTCGAGAGAGGGTCTTGGAGGCATATAGGCTGAGGCAGAGTGATGTGTGGTTCGTGTGGAAGACAACTTCTTGTAGTTCCAAACAAGGTATCATCATAATTGAGCAAGGTCTCATGCATCTCGGCAGGTTTCCTACCGAATTTACAAACCAAATTTTGATCAACGCAGAACCATGGTACTTGTACTTAGTACCCATAGTTGTTTTTTTTGGATTGTTTCCGCTTTGCTCTCCCCAATTCTCTACTGACTCTTTCTCCCCCCCTTTTTTTCTTTAGTGGAGTCTACATGGGTGCGGTCTGGGGACTAGGACCCTGATGGTATTCGACAGGTAAGATCTGTGACCGGCTGGTATGATACCGGTACTGTATTGAAAAGGTTGCCCCGGATTAGGACCCAATTATTATTCTCCTCATATAATGGAATATCAGTGATTCACCGGTATTGCAGCGAGGCGATGGCGAGTACGGCACAGTACTCGTACTGCACGTAGGATACCGGTTTATGATAATTTACAGTGCGGTACAGTACTCGAATGCTGGCGGCAACTGACAATCATAAGCGCAGGTCGCCGCATGTACTGTACGTTACATTATGGCGCAATGATAGACCCCATGGACCTCAATGACAACAACCACCCGAATAATTGTTGATAATATTATGATAACATGGGATCATGCATGTACGAGTAGATCGGTTTTTTGGAAATTATTTTGAGGGCGGTTTGATTACTCCCGACGGCATTACGACAGAGTGTTTACTGTAATACCGGCAGCCGGTAGTTTACCAAGTCTGCTGTAGGATGGACGCGAACGTTGCGACTCGAGAAGGTAGTCTACGTAGACTATCATACACTGACACTGTAGATTGGGCGCAGTGCAAATCAAAAGCAAAGAAAATATAAAAATATAAAATAAAATAAAAACACCCTCCAGGCATCTCATCGTCATCGTGATCCCAAATCCTCAACTCTCATTCATCCACAACGAAAAAAGCACACACCACCTGCAGGTCCGGGCAATTTATTTATCCATCCACCCATCCGCCCCTCCATCCACCCAACCCAACCCCATCATCCATCACTGGTACCGGTACCCTCGTCCATCCATCCATCCACACCCTTCCTACAAGTACGGGACCAAACAAAAACAACCTCACATAACCAAAGGGAAGATAAAAAAGAAAAGAAAAAAAAGAAAAATGGACCCAACATCCCGCTACGCTCCAATAGTTGAAAGAGATAAGCCACCCTAACCTACATGACTAAAGTTCGCTTAGGGATCAAAAAAAAAAAAAAATCATAGCTGACGTGGAGTGTGTGCGTGCGTGCGGCTGTCGTGCGGAGGAATACTGGGCAGAATGGAAGCACTGCTCACCGCCTTGCGACAAAGACACGCGGAGCTCAGGTCCCAGAACGACCGGAACGTGCGATTGGGCGTGGGCATGGAGAACTTGCTGAGGCCCGTGGAGGATGGCATTCGTATCGAGCGGGAGAGGGAGGCCGCCGAGCTTGCGTCGAAGAAGATGGACTTCGGCCTCAGGGCCGAGGCGGGGAAGGGCGATGAGGACGTTGGCACTGTGGGACGGAGGTCCAAATAGATACCATAATACGGTATTATTATGATGATGCATTACATAATGAGCACGCTCGGATTATGTTTATTCTGTTGGTGTCGGGAATATACGCGTTTGGGGGTATGAAAAGTATATACGTTGAGTGAAATACTTGTGTGCGGAGTTGCCGAGGCTAATCGCTCGCTCAAGTTTTGCAATGAAAATAGCACAATCCATGATACATGCCAAAAACTCCGTCCTGTCCCACTGAAAGCGTAAATAAAAAGGAAAGATATAAAAAGAGAAACAGTAAACCATCAAGATATTCTTAATAATGGGAATCGAAAAGATAAATAAAGAGCATCCACCCGCCTACCCGGCGCTGGCAGAACTCGTCGCTCAACAAGTTTGCACTTTCTTTTGGGGGGGGGGGCGTCATCACCGCTCCACGACTATTTGTTCCCGACATCTAAGACAAGCCTTCGTTCAACCTCGGTTTCCTTTCCAACCTCTTCCTCGCCCTCAAACTTCAGTCTGCATGTGCCATCTCTCTGTTCTGGATGTTAGTTTCGTCCGCATAGAGAGAGGGTCGTGGGACAGGAAACCTGCCTTAGTTCCCATCACCTCAGCTCTATAAAAGGTTGTTGTTTCCGGGTATCTTGCAAGAACTTGTTTGCCAGGTGGGTATGGTGGCAGTCCGGCGGAGTCCTTAGGGATCAGGATCAATGCATTTGCGGAAGCTTTGTATGTGGTTCCATGACCTCCAGCCTCGTCTGGCTCCGGATCCTGTACCTCATACCTAAGGGAGTGCTGTGTGAACAGTATTCCTTGGACATGGTGCAAGGGTGATTTCGGAGTTCATACTTCCGCTTATTCCCATCCCCGGCGATACCAACTATGATACACTGAATCCACATGCCCTCGGCATTTTTTTGTTTCGGCAGACGGTATGCAACTTCAGAATCTTTCTGGAGGCCATTGTGTGGGTCGGGTGCCGCGGACATGCTTCTGGCAACCTTTGTATTTCGACTGGATGGGCTATCGGCAGCACCAGCGTCGTCGATTTTGCGCTTACGCTTCTTCTCGCCTGTGGATGGAGAGCAAATTGGTAAGCGTAACTCGAGAAGATACGAAACAACCAGTACGGGGAGGCTGAGGACCGGATTGGTACGGAAAACCAGGAAAACGCCATGAGGGAAAGTATAATTAACAACACACAGCACGAGAGTGACGCAAGCTAGTAATCACAAGAGCTACGAAAGGTGAACAGTAAGAAGGATCAAAATTTCTTACCTCCTCTATCGCCGCCTTCTGTGGCAGTCCTTAGCGCTATGAGGAGATCGTTCCACTCCAAAACAGATTGTAGGGTCCTAACGTTCTGTGAGTTTTTATATAGAAGCCCTAGCGCACTCACTGCCTACAGCTGTTCTTTGTCCGCAAGCTCTTGATGCTCCGTATATAATTTTTTGAGGATTTTTAGATCCTCCAGAGATGCATCTGCAAACGAGGTTAGCAAATGGCACTGATATCGAACGAGAAAGGCCTCGGTGTATATAAATTGAGAGACCATGCGCAATATCAGAACTTTTACAGAAAATGTTGAACTGACCGCCTTCTGCATGACGTTCCTCCTCCCGTTGGGTTTCGGTTGTGAGCACTTGGACGCGCTCGGACATGCGCTGGAGCTCCTGGAGTTCTCTCACGATCTTTGTCCAGAGGTCGCGCTCCTCATGCGCATCGGCCTCTTCCTTCAGGGGGGCTCTAGGGCGATTGCGGGCTGCCATCATATCCTCGGCGATTCAAGAGGGGATTAGGGGAGAGGAGGCTGAACGAATTATAAGAGGCACTCCGATAGATGAGCTGGGTAGGGGTAGAGGGTTAGCGATGAGGTTCAAGGTATGGTATGATACTATAGTAGCGGAAGTTTTGTGGGGAGTAGGGGCAGGTGGGAGGAATGTGAACGGCGGGGTCCTGTAGGGGTCCTGCGAGGTGATGTGGGTGATGCGTGGAGGTGACGAGAGGGTAGCCGAGCGAGTGAATCTGCGACGCGCCTCGTGCCAAGCCAGGGCCCTGAGAGGCTTTGTCATGTGGGCTGGCTTCTCAATAGCCACTCGGTTGGGTAAATTACCATACCGGCAGATCAACGCAATGAGTGGCGAGCCTCAATGGGACATACTATCATAGTGGTACGAGTACAGCACCAGCCACTCCCGGATCTTCCCTCGCCCATAGCTGTACAAGGTGTTTATGATACCCAAAGACAGCAATGAATGACATTTGTATGTAGCAGCGATTTACTTGTATCCATTCAGAATTACTCATGTATCGTAACAAAAGAATAGAAATTAATCGGGAATTACAAGTACTAAGTAGGAAGCGTAATCCGGAGATACTACTAAATTCTATTAAATTTTAATTTTAATGTTAAAAACAATTATAATTATGGAAAAGCCTATGTTGATTAAAGCTCGGCCCTCGGTTTCCTGGGCAGGCAAAATGCCAAGATACTGTAAGTTGGCTATGATACCATAATACTTGTATTAAATTATTATTGTTTTTTTCTCTAGCGTCAACTTGAATTCAACCTCCATCTGAGGAATATAATATGAATTATTACCAATACTATGTCGGGTTTCGCAGCCAGCTCTGGCTTGGATGGGAAATATCATAATTGACAAGAGACTCAATTAGCTGGACTGCGTAGAAATTCAAGGTTTTTTTCATTTCCACTAGTGCACATATTTGCTGCTGGATCTTTGCTCGTGGATGTGAATACCCGTAGGGTACTGTACCGGTAGGTACTTTCCCTTTCAACCGCTTGGGGGTCAGTAGGCAAGTATCGTAATTCCTCTAATAGTGTCATCAGACTCAATGCAGCGGCCCAGACATTCTTACCTTATAGAGCTTCTCGTAATTATCGGTATCCTACATAGTACTCGTAGTCACACCTATTCAATAGTTTAGCTGTGGGTTATATAAAACTGCAAACAGCTAGGATAGATATGATAATATTATTATGGACGAGGAGCCCGGAACTATTATATTATAATAATATTATTACGATAATATTATGGTAATACTATGATATTAATAATATTATGATACTTTATTAAATTTTTATGTACCCTCTTTTTGACGGTATCCCCCATGAGGGGGGGGGGCTGGAACCAAAGAGGTCGCCGATTCCCTAGGGCCACCATTGCATGGGCACAAGGAACAATACTAGGGGGAACAATACTAAGAGGATCAATACTAGGGACTGTGTCTCACAAATGAGCATGGGTGAAGAACAATATCAACTGTTAGTATTGTTCTTGAGTGCTTTCAACCTTCAACCAACCACAATCGCCCCACCACTGCAGTAGTGCCCTATCATTCCTTAGGCTTGTCCAAAGGACAATGACTCTGGTTTCACCCGGACTCCGCGAAATACTATCACGTCGGTTCTCTGGCATTCGTGGCCCCCTGTACCCTCCCTTGCTCATTTGCATTGGGCTGCGATTGTCCCTTGGAAGAAGGTTTCGAGGATAAAGATTGGAATGAGAACATCCCTACTGAAATCACCGACCGAATAAATCCCTTCGATCCACAGCTCTTCAAAGCACACCCGTCTGCGGCGAAATATCCACTTCTCTTCTTCCCATCTTTACTTTACTCATCCTGTTACCTCAGATTCCGAGATGGAACAGATTCCAGTTTACGAGCGCCCCGGCTTCAATCCCCATAAACAAAACATCACTCTCTTCAAGCACGATGGATCCACCGTCACCGTCGGCCTTCACGAGCTGGATGCCATGTTCACTCACAGTATCAGAGTTGCCGTCGTTTTCGCCAGTCAAATTGGTGCCTGCGCCCTGCTCTCCGTGATCGTGGCAATGGTCACAAAGCGTGAAAAACGCCGTGCACTCTTCTTCCTCCACATTATCTCCCTCCTCTTGGTTGTCGTTCGGTCTGTTCTTCAGATCCTCTACTTTGTTGGCCCCTGGGCCGAGACGTACAACTATGTTGCGTACTACTACGAGGACATCCCCCTTTCCGACAAACTCATTTCAATCTGGGCCGGCATCATTCAATTGATATTGAATATATGTATCCTGCTGTCATTGATTTTGCAAGTTCGAGTCGTCTATGCAACCTCGCCGAAGCTCAACACCATCATGACTTTGGTTTCCTGCGTCATTGCGTCAATCTCTGTTGGATTCTTCTTTACAGTTATCGTACAAATTTCGGAAGCAATCCTTAATGGGGTGGGATATGATGGATGGGTGTACAAGGTTCATCGTGGCGTATTCGCTGGAGCGATCGCCTTCTTCTCGTTTATCTTCATCTTCAAATTGGCTTTCGCTATCCGACGTCGGAAGGCTCTGGGACTGCAAAGGTTCGGTCCTCTACAAGTTATTTTTATCATGGGTTGTCAGACTATGATTGTGCCTGGTAAGTCAAAATGTATCCAAAAAATATTATGCCAATAATAATGGTAAATAGCAATATTCGCAACACTAGAAAACGGGGTTGGATTCGAAGGGATGTCTTCACTCACCGCCACTCTTGCTGTTATCTCGCTCCCGCTTTCCTCTATGTGGGCCGCTGCACAAACCGACGGACCGAGCCCTCAATCAACACCTAGAGATGGATATCGTCGATTCAGCACCAGAAGGTCCGCTCTCAACCGCTCGGATCCTTCAGGTGGAAGGTCGGTGGATATGAATACGCTTGACTCAACCGGGAATGATTCGCTGGCTCTTCATGTGGACAAGACCTTTACGGTCGAGAGTAGCCCTAGTTCTCAAAGTCAAGCTGGGCCGCATAAGGAACGAGGATTTGAGTTTGCCTGAAATGACAAATGGGTCGAAAAAGGTTGAGGATGTTTTGATAGCGGATACCGATTGGTAATATTTGACTAGTTTACTGGTCCTGATTATTTGTTTTATTCTTTCTCTTTCCCATAGTTTTTTTTCCCTGCGTTCTGCTTTTTTTTTTCTCCATGAAGGCGAGTTACGTCGTTTCTGTTTTCTAAATATCAATATGATTGCTTTAGTGATGTAATTAACATTCCTGCTTCCTTAAATCCCTGGAGCGACTCTGAACAAAAAAATTTACCTTAGCTGTACGAGTGTAAGGTTACCTGCATTCCCAATCATTCCCATAATTCCCATCACGCCCGATCACTCGTAGTCGAACTTCAAGATCCCACCCCGCCAATAAGAGACATTAGTAGAATGAGAGTCTTAGGCTCCTATTTTATTATCCCCCAATAGAAGTATCTTACCTAAAACCACCCTCTATTAGCGCAGCTGGTCCCCCCACCCGTGCTTGAGGATAGGGTAATTGTCTGAAAAGGTTACCCTACCCACCGACCTCCAGGAGCGCACACAAAAATTCCTTATCCGTAGCAACCGCAGTCTTTTTCCCCCACACTTTAAATCACGAATACACCCCTCACCTTTTTTCCCTATTTAACCCAAAACTTTTTCTTCTTTGCAGATCTACGAGGATAATTCGATATGAGACCTATACTGCTTCAAGGACATGTGAGTTGTTCCCTTGGCCCGTTTAGTGGGGATTGGCGGTAGGTGGGATTATGGGGCTAACACATTCGGCATTTAGGAGCGTAGTTTGACGCAGATAAAGTATGGGTTTCCTTCCTGGGAATTGGTGTTTGGTTGCGGCGAGCATGTGCTAATGCTGTAATTTTCGGGAATAGGTATAACAAAGACGGTAGGCTTTATGCGCCATTCGCTGGAGTTCAAGTTTGAACTAATGTTGTTGCTTGCTACTAGGTGATTTACTTTTCTCCACGGCAAAGGACCACGTAGTCTGTGCCTGGTATTCCGGTATTTTAATTCCCCTTCCTGAAGCTCTCTCCGCTAGATCCTAACACCTTCTAGTAAATGGAGAACGAGTCGGTACATATAAAGGTCACGTCGGTGCTCTCTGGACTGTCGACGTCGACCCGGCCACCACCCTCCTCGCGACCGGCAGTGCGGACAATACCATCCGTATCTGGGACGTACGAACCGGAAAGCAGTTGAAAATGTGGGAATTCCCGACGGCCGTTAAGCGGGTCGAGTTCAGCGAGGATGGGACTCTGCTCCTCGCCGTGACGGAGCAGAGGATGGGCCACTTGGGTACTGTTGTTGTATTCCCGATTACGGTTGATCTGGAGGCAGAACAAGTAGATGAGCCTAATTTTACGATTACCTTCCGCGAGAGTAAAGCGACGGTTGCGGCGTGGAGTTATCTGAATAAGTACATTATTACTGGGCACGAGGATGGGAGGGTTTCGCAGTATGATGGAAAGGTATGGGTTTATTGCTTGTTGCGGCAGTGAGGGAGGCTCCCTTGGGGGGTTTTATTTTTTATGCTGATCACTGGAGTATAATAGACTGGGGAGCTCATAAGAGACGTTCAAGCTCATGAGCTGGATATGCAGATTACCGATATTCAGATGGCGCCGGATAGGACTTACTTTATTACCTGCTCTAAGGATAAGACTGCTAAGGTATATCTCACTTCTCTCACGGCATTTCTATACACATACTGATAGCCACAGATCCTGGATGTCAACGAGCTTAAGGTTATGAAAACTTATGTTACCGACACCCCCTTGAATACCGCAGCCCTTACTCCAAAGAAAGACTTTGTCATCCTCGGTGGTGGTCAGGAAGCCCGTGATGTCACCACTACCTCTCAGCGACAGGGCAAATTTGAAGCGAGGTTCTACCACAAGATCTTCGAGGATGAGATCGGTCGTGTCAAGGGTCATTTCGGTCCTCTTAACACTGTACGCTACCCCCCCCTCGGCATTTCCTAACACTGCAAGCGGGTGCTAACGTTTGTCCTCTAGATTGCTGTCCACCCTCAAGGGGTTGGCTACGCCTCCGGTGGAGAAGACGGTTACGTTCGTGTACATCACTTTGATAAGCCATACTTTGACTTTGCGTATGAGGTCGAGAAAATGAAGGGTTAGGTTGGGCAGTGCTTGGTAGACGAAATTGAAAATTTCCTTTTTTCAAGAAAATCTAAAGGCGATTGTGTTTCTTTTCATTGACTCTTTTTCCTTTTTTCTTTCATTTAATATATATCATGTGGTAAAAGTTATATATCTTCTATCTGTCTGATGATGGTAGTTGGAGCATATGGGCGGTCGGCGCCATAACGAAAATCGCACCCTCGTTCCCCAAAAGCAAGACGCTCGTCAAGGGGGTTTTTATCTTATGGAATTGCGTGGACAGCCCCGGCCCGGTTCAGTGGGGAGCCGTGGGTGGGGAGGGGGGGGGGGGAAAAAACTACCTCTCAACCTCTTCTTCCTCTAGCACTTCGACAACAACCTGTCTAACAAGCTCGACATCCGCCCTCTCCACCTCGCGAACCCTCTTCTCCCTAGTCTCTAAGCCAAGGAACTCTTGTGGCCTGACCATCTTCTCGAAGTCATAGTCCCCGACCTCCTCGCCACCACTAATCCCTGTGAGCGCTAGATCCACTGCATGATTGAACTTTGCCGGATGTGCGGTTGACAATGAGATATGGTGGACGTTTTCTTCGCCAGCAGCCTGCGAAGCCTTAATAAGTCTCAAGGAAGCGGCGACTCCAACGGCCGAATGCGGATCAAGAATGTAAGATGCAGAAGGCGGGGTATTAAACATATGCCGTATAGTCTCGACAGTCTGGTTATCGCTAACACGCTCGGAAGTGAAGTCCCTCTTTGCAATGTTAAGCACGTCTTCGGAGACCACGGTAGTGCCAGTGTTCTTTAAGGAGGTCATCCACTCGTTCAGGACGCTGCCGGCCCGGGCACGTTTCTGGTCTTCGTTGGTAGCGTTGGGGATTTCGTTCTCGTAGGCTAGGTACCAGAGTAGACGCTCGAAGTTAGAGGATATGAGGATGTCCATTGCTGGGGAAAGGGTTGCTTTAACCCCGCCTACTGCTGGGCCACCTTCACCCTCCTCTGGGGACACAGGACGCTTTTCGTAGCGGCTTGTTCTGAAGAAGCGATCCAGGATGTCGTTCTCATTTGTCGCAATGACGAGCTTATCGATTGGTAGGCCCATCTTTTTAGCATAGTAACCCGCCAACACGTCACCGAAGTTTCCCGTTGGCACGACGTAGCGAAAGATGGGTACACTTCCTACCGGCAGACGCCTGAGCAAGGTGAAGTAGGAATAGAAGTAGTAGACGATCTGAGCGAGGATCCTGGCCCAATTGATGCTATTGACTGCGCCCAGGTTGTGGGACTTTGACAATTCGGGATGCGAGAAGAGTGCTTTTACCACATCTTGGCAGTCATCGAAAGTTCCGACGACGCTGAGGTTGTGCACGTTCTTGTCTAGCACTGTCGTCATCTGCGCTTCCTGGATCGGGCTCACACGACCCTTCGGGTGGAGGATGAATACTGATACGTCCCTCTTCCCGCGAAGGCCATAGATAGCGGCGGATCCGGTATCTCCACTCGTAGCGCCGATCACTGTCAAGTGGTGCCTCTTCTCCCCCTCTTTCACATCCTTATTCTTCCTAACGAGGAAATACTCAAACAGGTTCCCGACGAATTGCAATGCAACGTCTTTAAACGCAAACGTGGGGCCATGGAACAGCTCTAGGACGTGCAGGTTTGCATCCGGGAGGATGGTATTGAGTGGCGTGATGTCCTCGTGGCGGAAGGTGGAATACGAGCGTGTGACCAGCTCCCGTAGGTCTGAGGAGGGGATCTCGTCCGGGGAAATGTAGAGTGAGAGGACCTCGTAAGCTAGGTCTTGGAATGAGAGGGTCTTCCAGGTTTTTTGCCAGTTCGTGGGTGGGGATGGAATTGCCTCTGGGATGAAGAGGCCGTTGTCGCTGGCGAGGCCTTTGAGGACGGCGGCCTCAAAGGTGAACTTTTCTCGTTAATTAGTCTTGGATTCTTCAGCTGCGGGTAGAAGGAGGGGAACTCACGCCGTAGGACCCGCCACGGGTACTCAAGTACCTTTGCGAGGCGGTGGGTGAAGCCATGATCGTTAAATTTCCTCAGAGCAGGAAGGAAAAAAAAAAGGGGGAAGTAGTTAAGAATCGAGCTCGTCGTTTGGGAAGGTGTTAAATGAGAAACCTTCCTTCGTCTTGGTTGGTTGGTGTGCAATACGGGTGGGGGAAGAAAAAAAGGGATCCAATTCTGTTGCGCCAGGGACAAACGTGGGGCTCCTTCCCAGGGACCGTGCGACAAATGATACTCTGGTCTTTTACGTCGCTATACCGGTATGTAAATCAGTGTTACCCTGTCTTGTACTCATTCACAAATAATCACTCGGCATACCACATGCCCCTGCGGTTCCAAACTTGACTTCTTGGAGCTTGTCCTCCTCGAATTGTAACAGCCATGGTGCCAGAGGAGCTCCTCTGCGAGTGATTTCTTCGAGGGACACGCACCGATACCATACGGCCTGACTTATCACCTGTGGGCAAAACACCGAGAGCTCGCTCCTTGAGTAGCTAGAAATAAGTTCTTCTAGCGGGCGATGTGGATTTATAGCCTTCCGGGAGGCTTTCTTAACGTGGGAGCTGAGGTGGTGATAGGTATCGTGGTGAATAGCGAGCAGTGTATCATAATATTATATAAGTGAGAGAGGGGATGGGATTGAATGGGATTTAATATATAGGCTCCGGAATATTATCATCGGGATGGCTCGAAGCGGGTTTGATATTGAATCGTGCTCCCCGCAAGGAAATTTTGAGCAACTTGAATCAAATGACATATCCATATCAGCGAAGGTTTTGGTGTGTCATGATCCTGACTATGATACCTCATCCTAGGTTAGAGCGTAATATACATCGCGATACTATACACCGACCTGCTTATATAAGGCGTTTTACGCAAAATCCAAAGCATATTGTAAATTTAAACTCTGCTATGTGACTGTGTGAAATGGATTGACAAGGATGATAGAGGTTGGCGGAATTTGCAATAGGGCTACCGAGTAAATGGGGGAATATAGCACATATAATACCATCACAATAAATATCATATACTCCTGTTTCGGGATGCACATCTGTTCCAGATACGATGTGGTTTGGTATCCTCTCTTGAACACATAGAGGACCTCCCTCAATGACGAGAAAGATTACAAGAATGTCAAGAAAGTTTGCCTCAGTTGTAAACCCATTCTGGATGATCTTTCCAAGAGCCACATCTAGATGGGCAATATATTCTGGAAAGAGACATTGTATGGGAGAAAGCCATCTAGAGCCATTGTTGGTATCGTGATTGTCATAAATGTAATCATGGGAGCGATTGGGGAACTGGGTGTAGTCAAGAAGTCGGGGGATTTGGGTCCTCAGGGTGTGCGTTGCTAATGAGATTTTCTTCGACGATTATGCGTTGGTACGTGGTGCAGGACCGTTTCCTGAGGATGGGCGGGAAAGCTACTGTCTTGGCAAGCGCAGTTGGTGGCCAATATATCATAGTTAGTTGGGTAGTAGGATAATCAATAGCGCTGTCTTCTCTGGGATTACCGAGTAATCCGCCATGAATGGGTGACTCCAGGCTGGCCGAGCAGTTCTAGCATGGAAGGAATCTCTTTGTCTGTCCTGGCTTTTACACACTTTTAGCCCGTAAGTGACCCTAACACAAGCTATCGAGCTAAACACCTGACCATCTCAAATCATGACCATCTCAAATCACAGCTAGCCAAACAGGCCCTAAGTCATCTAGCTTTATTAATTACTGTCAGGTGTGATTGATTCTTATAGGTGAGGAGGCTGACCACAGTGGGCAGCCTATCCTGCACTACTCTGAAGACTGGTAAACTGACCCGTCTGGAAAATATGTCTGCTAGATAAAGGATGGCAACACTTCCAAGATTTGCTATGAGGTAGCGATGTATTGAGAGTGTTTCCCTGTTAGTATAGTTTCCATCGAGTGTTGAGGGATGTACATATCTATCGAGGCAACACGTCCGTCCGTCCTGCTGGCTGTTGCGGGATGCATAATGCAGCCTATGCTGTGCTCTTTGAACAAACTTATGTAACTTCCATGTCATGCCATGAGCTCATTGCGACGAGAAGGATAGCAAGCTTCTTGGAAGAAAGACCGCCTTGCTTGGCCATACCCGGCTGATATCGTTCTTGTCCTCACCCTGGCGAGGCCCATGGGAACCATATACAAAACCATTATTTAATAGAGAAAGAGTGAAATGATTTGCCCGATTCGTGCGATTTGGAACGGCTGCTAGCTCTCTAGGAAGTAATGAGGGATACTTATAGAATTTCGATTCCCCAGACCATAACTAACAACAGGTTCGTGAGGCGAGTGATAGTTTATGAGTCTGTTAAACTTAATTCAACCCGAGCCCAGCAGTTGAGCCTATTACTATGGGTCCAGGAACTTGAATTAGATATTGAGAGAAATCATTCTCGAGAATACCCTGTGATAAATGTTCCTACTCGCCAGAATTCTCACAAGCCCGCACCCGTGCAAACTGCTCTTAGGTAAGCCTAGGTTACCCTCCTTTAACCCACCAAACTTTACCACAAATTCACCCCACCAAGTCAGAGCATCACCAACCACACCACCCGGCCAATCCAGCAATCAGCGGTTAGCCTTCAGAGATGGCGTCTAAAGCTTCCTCCCCGGGGGCCAACCTCCTCCGCCATTCGCGGCTTTTTGCTATGCCAAAGCCCCTCCCCCCACCATTAACCTTCCGCTTGGGCCACCAAGATCCAGCACCATACCCAACCGTCCAAGCAATAACCACCCCGACTGCCTCACGGGTCCGTGGCAATTGGGGCCTGAAGCGCGATGTCCCGCACAAGATCACGCACACAACGATGCGAGTGACAGAGCTGGACACAATTGAGCGCTTCATGGCCTTCGAATCCGCCAACGACGACGTGCTCACGTTGAAGAAATGGCAGGAGGTGGACATGCCACTGGTTAAGAGTCCCACACTAGGAAGCGGGCTGAGTGCGAACGCATGCCTTCAGGAATCCGTCTTCGACGACAACATCATTGCTGGAGAGAGTTACAAGTGGAAGTATCTCGGCCCCTTCCTCCCGGATATGCCGGCGGATGAGTTTAAACGGTACGTACTGAAGAAGGTGAAGCCCCGACAGAAAGAATTCGAAGCATTTGTCGCAAAGAGCATGGCGGATGCGTGCGGGGTGTACGAAAGTGCTGCTGCCGCCGACGGGGAGACAAAGGAAGTACAGGTGAACATGAACAAGTTGAGGGAGGACACAATGAAGTTCCTGGCCCTGGTGACGGACTTCCTGGACATGCCGAGGGGCGGGAGGTCCTATCGTACCCACCCGTCCGCGGGACTACACTACACTCGCTCAGCAGCACACATTCCCTACGATCCTGAGCACGGCCCTTGCCCTTCACGCCCTGTTCCTGGCCGATCCCTCAACTCGTCCCCCAGTGGCGCCGTCGTCGGGATCGGCGGTGTTGCCGCGATCCTCCGCGATAATAATACCAATTACTTTGACACCGGCCGGGTGCATAACGACCGCAGACACGTTCGCAACTACGAGCCCAGATCTGCGTACATCTCCAACCGCGGGCGGATCATGATGGATGCCAAGTCTGCTATGTCCTACGAGGAGGCTATCGGGATGAGGGGTAAGGGTCCTGAGGCGCTCTGGGGCGCTGGGGGCGCTGGGTCCGTGATGGATAATCTGAAGAACTTGGTTCCCCAGGGCGGGCGCAAGAGGGGGGTAGAATGGGACAATTGGTTCGTGGATTCCGGGGGACGGCGAGGGGGCGGTAATGGGGACAGGGGTGGCTTGAGCAGCCTGGCGCCTCCTGGGTCCAAGCTTTCGGGGGCGTTCACGAGGCTGGGTCAGGCGAAGGAGGGTGGGGGGCGGGAAAAGAACGACGTGATCACTGATATCCTAGCTAATCTAACAAAGAGCTGATATGCTAATCGCTTCTCAAATTTCTTTTTTGGTGGTCTTTATTCTATTTCCATTTCGCTCCAGATATTCTACCAGCGTAAAAACAAACAATTATATCTTAAGGAAGACTATTGTACAGTACAAACGTTTCTGAATTGCCTACAGACGTATTATATAATTACGGTATATTATACACCCCCCACCCCCCTAGTGACTGGACACACGGATTGGTTTAATATCGTTCACGTTTTGTTGGAGTTACCTTGGGGGTGCGATAGGTGGATTATTATCTTCTCTCTAATACGGTAAGTATTTCTTCCGTACATACTCTGGAGGCGAATGGAGTATTTCCCCTTCAAGAACCAACTTTTCCCCCACCACAAACTTACGTACGCAACCGGTGAATGGTACGCCTACCGGTAATTATTGTAATATCTAGCCTCGTGTCCTATACCCCAAATTCTCTCATTCTTTCCCTGAAGATCTTCTTATCCGGGGCAAGCTCCTACCTAGCATAGACTGGTGTCTAAGTTCGTTTTTCTTTCTGGCTCTCGCTCTGCCCCTTTTTTAGTACCTCTGCTACTGTTCTCTCTCTATTAATATACTCGAGCGGGGTATAGTATTGTATAGCTTCTGATGCTCGATGAATCTCAAACGCCATTGGTCCAGCTGGGACGAGTTACGATCTGCTGAGGTACTGTACTCGTACTCAAAGCTTCTCTCTCTCCCACCCCACTTAGCCAGAGTTTACTCGAGCACGAGTACAGCGCCATAGCTTAACGTACTGTAGTACAGTGAGTTTCTCCATAATTACCAAAGGTGCATCCTTTCCCTCCATTTTTTTTCTCCCCCTTCTTCTCCCCTTTCCGCTTGATTGTATCGTATTCTGTCTGTTTGCCCGGTTGGCTTTTGCGAAAAGGTAAATACCGTAGTCTAAGTTACCAGTGGTTTGTGGGAAGGCCGATCACGGGACCTTTCCTCGGTTCGTACAAAAACAATTTAATAAATTTAAGCACTATAGGGTTGGCTTTATTTTTATTTTTATATTATAATATTATTATTTCGTTGTAAGTTACCGCATCCCAGGTAGCCCTTGGCTTAGCCGTAGATTGAGGTTATGATCTGGACCTGGAACCAGTAGGCTGCCCGTACCGTAGAGCAAAGTGTTGTGGTCGCCCGGGTAGCCGGTTGATGCTGTGCGTCTAGGAATACCGGTATCATAATATGAGAGGAGGAAAAATATGTTAGATAGCATCTGCCCCGGGAAGGGCACTAGGCAGTGCGGGGAATTTCTTTGAATTTTTTTGGGAGCAGTCAGCAATGGCTAATCGGCAGCCCGGTTTGTGGTAACTTGAGATAACGTTGACCGCATGCTAGGCACATATGTCATCGTGGGTTAGAATAATTTGTTTTTTTGGAAAAATTTTATCGCTGTGGTTGCCGCCGAAATGCGGTGTCGGCAGTTAATCATTGGTATCAGCAATGGTAACCCAGTACCGCTGTTTTTCTTTTTCTTTTTCTTTACCCTTCTCTGGTTTCTCCTCATCTCGCGCTTCCAAAGACACTCGAGTACCGGCGAATGCACGACATCGATTGATTTGATGACGGCGGTGAGGTTGCTGATGGACTGCCGGGGCCCGTGGATGTGGTGGTGGTGGTAGAGGGGGAGGAGGAGCAGGAGCAGGAGGCGGAGGTGGGGGCAGGATGGGATACTCATGGGGATATTACAGTGGTTAATTCGCTGTATTGTCCTACTGAAGGTCTCTGATCCTGTTTCGGAGTACTGTACGAGTACTGTACCGGTACACAATGCTCAAGTACCGGTACGTATATTCGCCAACGATAATTTAGCGGAGAACCACGGGCAAGGAGGTACACATAGCCCGAGGACAGGCCGAGGTCACTCTCGTTTTTCCCCCATCATTTTTTCATATTTGTTACGCCTCTACTAATACCTGCTGGCGCTGTGATATATGAGAAGGTATTACTGGCTGCTGTAAATTGTCGAGATGAGAGATGAGGGGTGATGGCGGAAGAAGAGGGGGGAGGGAAGAGGGAACATGAACCGGGAGTGTGGGTTTTCTGTTCTGTATCTTCTGCTTGATACCCGGTTGCACCTTGTGTGCGAGTTATGGGTATAAGTCACTATAAGGTCCCACGCGTACGTCATGTATGATATGTCGGCACATATTTAAGCATTTTATGTGTAATTTTGGGAATCTGGTGTGAGATTTGAGGGTTCTGTAGCTGCTCATTCGTGGTCAACAGTATCGCCACCCCAGATGGTTTCTCTTGGAGGAAAAAACTTGGAGCGTTTGATGGTTGGTGGTTTGAATTACGTTCAGAGTTGCTTGATTTCTTCCCGGAGTGGTTGGTTAGTTGATTGGTTGGATTTGTGATGTGCCACAGTACTGCAGCCGCAACTGATAAGGACTCGGCTCGTTTTTGGGTTTCTGCAGCACTGCTTATTAGGGCAGGATTCCTGGTTGGGCGTTGCTAACACACTAGTGTGGAACCTCTTGTGTGATTTACCCCTCCATCATCCCAACCCATCCCACCCCACCACCATCACCACCACAACCGACGCGCCGGAACACAAAGTCTTATAGTCTACCGATATCGTGCACAGATGCGAAGCGTAGTTCGCACACAGTGTCCCATCTTATCAGTCTTTCGCCTGCTTCGTGACACTGTCTACTCCAATATTTGCCAGCCAAACCATGATAATTATGATAGATAGATAGACCAGATCGGCCGAAAGGAAGGGGCGCCAGACCAAACCTTGGTATTTCTATTTCTATTTCCAATTTCATTTGTTTGTCAAACCCAAGTTGGGACGCATACGAGGCCAGTATCGGTAGGTATGGGGGGAAAAATTGTAGTCTACCGTCCCATTGCCACAGCCGAAACTAAAGTTAAATCCTCCCCCTCCTTCTTTCCATACTCCTGCTCCTGCTCTGCTCCTCCTCCTCCTGCTCCTCCTCCTCCAGCACCTCAATCCCGTCATACCAATCCTCCCTTCTCTTCCCAGTTCCTACCATCAACTCCCCCTGCACTCCGCCTACTATCGTACCCTTCAGGATAAAACCCATACATACTCACAACCTTCCCCCCCCCCTCCTCTCCTTTGACGTTCTCTACTCCCTCTCCCCGGGTCCCTCTTGTTCTACCTCTCCCTTTTGTTCCCCCTTTTGTGCCCCCAGAGCAAACCTAAATTCTTCGCTACTGTGACTCCTTGAAATCCATTCGAACTTACGGGATTCCAAAATCATGGATACCAAAGAGTTTAATCAGGTCTTTGAGGATGCAGCCGACTCCTCGACTGTGCGCACCGTGCACCGTCTCCGTGCCAATTCCACCATCATGCAGGTCAACAAGATTTTAGGTTTGTTGTCGTCCTTCCTTCCTTTTTTTTTTTTTTTTACATTCCCCACGTTTTTTACCCGGTGTTGTTCCAGAATTGTTTGTTTGCTGACTTGGTGATTCACTTTTTGGTACCATTAGTTGCCAATCGTGGTGAAATTCGTAAGTTTCCCTCCTTCGACATTTGTTGGTTCAGTGTTTCATGGTGTCAATTGATTAATTTAATCTTTATTACAGCGATTCGTGTATGTTTTACGATTCGTTTAGATTGTGTTTGTGATTTGTTTACTAATGCGGCTGGTCTGTGTGAAATAGATTTTTAGAACCGTGAGTTTGTTTCACTGTCTTGGTTGCCATAGGAAATTTTCTGACGCAATGGGCAACAGGCGCATGAACTTTCTTTACAAACTGTTGCCATTTACAGTCATGAGGATCGCCTCAGCATGCATCGCCAGAGTATGAGCCTCACCGAGATAGCGGGGAGACCCGGTTACTGATGATTTGGGCAATCCTTTAGAGGCTGATGAGGCATACGAGATTGGCGCAAGGGGAGAATTCACACCCGTTCAGGCCTATCTTCAGGTTGATGAGATTGTAAAGATCGCGTTGACGCATGGTGTTGACATGATCCATCCTGGCTATGGATTCTTATCTGAGAATGCGGAGTTCGCCCGCAAAATTGAGAAAGCTGGCATGATTGTGAGCCAGATATCCCTCCACGCGCTTTCCAAGTGCGGTCGGTTTTAACAAATCGTTTGCATTCTAGTTTATTGGGCCCAGTCCTGAGGTTATAGATGGTTTAGGAGATAAGGTTTCGGCACGTACACTTGCTCAGAAATGCAGCGTTCCGGTGGTGCCTGGAACTCCTGGGCCTGTGGGTGATCTTGCTGCGGCAGAGGTATTCGTGGAGGAATACGGATACCCCGTCATCATCAAGGCAGCTTTTGGTGGGGGTGGTAGGGGTATGCGAGTAGTGAGGGAGGGTGAAAACCTCCAGGACGCCTTCACTAGAGCAACCTCAGAGTATGTTTCTTATCAGTAAGGCCTATCCTAGAGATGACAAGATACTAATGATGAAACAGAGCCAAGGCAGCTTTCGGTAACGGAACTGTTTTCATCGAGCGCTTCTTGGACCGCCCTAAACATATCGAGGTTCAGCTACTTGGTGACAAATTCGGAAACGTTGTTCACCTGTACGAGCGTGACTGTAGTGTTCAGAGAAGGCATCAGAAGGTTGTTGAGATTGCCCCCGCCAAGGATCTCCCGCCAGAGGTCCGAGCCGCTATCCTTGAAGATGCTGTTAAATTGGCAAGATCAGTGAACTACCGTATGTCTACCCTGGAAAATAGCTTTCGAGCCCTATTAACCGTTGCAATATACAGGAAATGCCGGTACTGCTGAGTTCTTGGTCGATCAACAAAACCGATATTACTTCATTGAGATCAACCCTAGAATGTAAGACGACCTAGCATGAGGAGGGAGAGCTATTGCTGACTGAATGGTATATAGCCAAGTGGAACATACTATCACTGAAGAAATTACTGGCATCGACATCGTTGCCGCTCAGATACAGATTGCTGCAGGAGCCTCGCTCGAACAATTAGGCTTGACTCAGGACCGCATCTCTACCCGTGGTTTTGCTATCCAATGCCGCGTCACCACCGAGGACCCATCACAGGGCTTCCGACCTGACACTGGAAAAATTGAGGTGTACCGTTCTGCAGGCGGTAACGGTGTCCGCCTTGATGGTGGTAACGGTTTTGCGGGGGCAATTATTACCCCTCATTACGATTCCATGTTGGTCAAGTGCACCTGCCATGGATCTACATACGAAATTGCTCGCAGAAAGATGTTGCGCGCACTAGTAGAGTTCAGGATCCGTGGTGTCAAAACTAATATACCATTCTTGGCCTCCCTACTAACTCATGATACCTTCATTGAAGGCTATTGCTGGACCACATTCATTGATGATACGTGAGTGGTTATCTTCCCAAAGTCTCAAGGTTCAGATAGACTAATTACTGGTTCAGTCCCGAGTTGTTTTCTCTTATGAAGTCACAAAACCGTGCCCAGAAAATGCTGGCATACTTAGCCGATTTAGCTGTTAATGGCAGCAGCATCAAGGGTCAAATTGGTGTTCCCAAATTCACTGGAGACATTGTTTTGCCCAAGCTCTATGATGGGAATGGCAATCTAATTGATGTCACCTACCCATGTCAGGTTGGTTGGCGTAATATCCTCGAGAAGGAGGGGCCAGTAGGCTTTGCCAAAGCCATCCGCAAGAACAAGGGTACTCTCTTTATGGATACTACATGGAGAGACGCGCATCAGTCTCTTTTGGCTACCAGAGTCCGTACTTGTGACTTGGTAAACATTGCAAAGCATACAAGCTATGCCTATTCCAACGCTTATAGTTTGGAATGTTGGGGAGGTGCTACCTTTGACGTAGCGATGAGATTCCTTTACGAAGACCCATGGGACAGATTGGTAATACCTTTATTTTCTTCGAATTTTATCTAAAGTCAGCTACTAACCATCCTTTAGAGGAAATTGAGGAAATTGGTTCCGAATATTCCTTTCCAGATGTTGCTTCGTGGAGCAAATGGAGTTGCATACTCATCGTAAGTAATGCCAAGAGTGCTCTTCTAAGTAACTTATCTAAAATTTCTAGGCTTCCGGATAATGCGATTGATCACTTTGTTAAACAGGCGAAGGTTAACGGAGTTGATATCTTCCGTGTATTCGATGCTTTGAACGATCTCGATCAATTAGAGGTTGGTATAAAGGCTGTTCTCAAGGCTGGAGGGGTCTGCGAAGCCACAGTTTGCTACAGTGGGGATATGTTGAATCCCAACAAAAAGAAATACACGCTTAAGTATTATCTCGAGATTGTTGACAAGATTGTGGCTATGGGAACCCACGTCCTTGGTATTAAGGACATGGCCGGTGTTCTCAAACCCCGAGCCGCAACTCTGCTCATTGGCAGCATTCGCAAGAAGTACCCTGACCTCCCTATCCACGTTCACACACACGACTCGGCAGGAACCGGCGTGGCTTCCATGGCTGCTTGCGCTATGGCAGGTGCCGATGCGGTTGACACTGCTACCGACAGTTTGTCCGGTATGACGTCTCAGCCGAGCGTCGGAGCTTTGTTAGCTTCTTTGGAGGGTACCGACCAGGACCCCAATCTCAACCCTAACCACGTCCGTGCAATTGACGGATATTGGGCTCAACTGCGCCTCCTATACTCTTGCTTTGAGGCTGGTCTAACCGGTCCGGATCCTGAAGTCTACCTTCACGAAATTCCTGGTGGACAACTTACAAACTTGATTTTCCAAGCCAGTCAGATGGGTCTTGGAACACAATGGGCAGAAACCAAGAAATCCTACACACTAGCCAATCAACTCCTTGGGGATATCGTCAAAGTTACACCTACATCTAAAGTTGTCGGAGACCTTGCTCAATTTATGGTCTCCAATAAGCTTTCTTATGACGATGTAATTGAGAAAGCCGAGACCCTAGATTTCCCTGCTTCTATCCTTGATTTCTTCGAAGGGCTGATGGGTCAACCATACGGCGGCTTCCCCGAGCCCCTTCGTACCAATGTTCTTCGTGGGCAGCGTCAAAAGTTGACCGAGCGCCCTGGAAAGTCCATGCCACCAGTCGATTTGGCTAAGGTTAGGGCCGAGCTTGAAAGCAAGTATGGCGTCATCTCAGAATGCGATATTGCGAGTTACAACATGTACCCCAAGGTTTTCTCTGACTACAAAGACTTTTGCGACAAGTATGGAGATCTTAGTGTTCTTCCTACCAAGTACTTCCTAGTTAGCCCCAAGCTTGGAGAGGAGTTCCATGTCGAGATTGAGAAAGGAAAGCTTCTGATTCTCAAACTGTTGGCTGTTGGTCATATTTCCGAGCAAACTGGCCAAAGGGAAGTCTTTTTTGAGATGAATGGTGAAGGCAGAACGCTCTTAATTGAAGACAAGCACGCGGGTATGTCCAGTTTGCTCTTCATCCTCTGGTGGGACATAATAACTTAAATATTTACAGCCGTCGAAAACCTGAGCCGCCCCAAGGCCGACCCCAAGGATCCTAGTCATGTTGGAGCACCTATGGCTGGTGTTGTTGTCGAAGTCCGTGTCAAGGAGAACACCGAGGTTAAGAAAGGCGATCCTATCGCCATCATGAGTGCCATGAAAATGGTATGTAACTACTATCTCTATCCGCAAAAATTATGATATGCTAACTTGTGATTTAGGAAATGAGCGTCACTGCCCCCCATTCTGGAGTCGTTGTTGGCCTCGAAGTTAAGGAAGGCGATTCCGTTGATGGCTCCGACCTTATTTGCAAAATCCATAAAGCATAGGCGCGCTTCTCCTGCTTTGTATTGTTGTTTTCCCTGTTTTTTTTTATCATATATACATCTTGAGGCATTTCTTCGGTCAATTGAATAATAATAAAAATTAAACACTTTTGAGTGCATCCAATTTGAAACAATTTCGATCCAACGTAGGAATCCGGAGGTCTCCTAAATCTCTGCTGAGTCATTATTGATATCAGAGATGAAGTATGTAAAAGAATCAAGTGATTTTTGTCACTCGTATCACGTGACTGTAGGGGTACATAGATTCAAATTAGGGCGGCAGGAAGGTGGGGCAATCTTGAGACACAATTGATTCCCCCCACCAACTAGGATTAAGTGGATGAACCCCATCAACCATTTCTCGCATCTTTGTAGGTTCACTCATTGGCTCACCCAATTTTCTCTTGCATCGTACAGGTATAGTATCATCTGTAAAAACACTATATTGTACGAGTACTGTACAAGTACTCGTACCTGTAGTCTATCGGTACCACCGCCACCATAGATATTTATCTACTCGAGTAGACTACAAACTATCACAACAAATTGAACATTGCCAAAGTTGAGAAAAGAAAACACACACAACCCTCCCACCTGCACCGGAAACAAAAGTACAGTAAGCCTTCGGCTTGTCAATAATCCCTATCTCAGCAGGAAAAAATTTTCCCCTCTCTGGGGATGAAAAAAACGTAATTGAACACCATCACGTTGATATCATCTTATTTGCATTGGTCCCACGCTCTATTTTCCGCTTCACAACCAAGCCTCACCTCAGCGAAAACCCCTCCCTCATACTCAACAAAGCTGCATAGAAGCAAGAAAGAGAGGTCTTATCCCTGTTTGTTTTTTTGATCGGTCTTCCACAGCCTCCCAGTTTTCTCTTTAATATTTATTTTTTTTACCCATAAACAGAACCCGCGTGTTTGATAACTCCTTCATCCTCCCTTTTCCTCCATCCCCGTTTCTCCTCCTTCCCTCTCCCTCCCTCTCTCTCCTCACCCCTCATCCTCCATCTGATCTAGTCGACCATCTGTTTCATCACGAACCTTTCAGAATGATTACCAAAATTCACGCCCGTTCAGTCTACGACTCTCGCGGTAACCCCACTGTTGAGGTAGATCTCACTACTAGTGATACTGGCTTGCATAGGGCTATTGTCCCCTCCGGTGCTTCCACCGGCCAACACGAAGCCATTGAGCTTCGGGACAAAGACAAGACCAAATGGGCGGGGAAGGGTGTTCTCAAGGCTGTTGAAAATGTCAATACTATCATCGCCCCTGCCCTCATTAAGGAAAGGTTCGACGTCAAGGACCAAGCTGCTATCGATAAGTTCTTGATTGATCTTGACGGAACCCCAAATAAGGCCAAGTTGGGGGCCAACGCTATTCTTGGTGTCTCTTTGGCTGTTGCTAAGGCTGGAGCTGCTGCAAAGGTATGTGTTCTACCACTTTTCATTTCCCCTCTTGTTGTACGAGTACAGCCGCATTTAGATTTTTGTTGTTGGACTCGTTACTCAGTGCCCCAATTTCTCCGGCGGTTGTCATGTCCCTCAGACTCCCTATTGATCACGCACCCTGACCCTCTTACTGTTTTGATCTGTTATGTTCTCTCAAGTTTTTATTTTTTTTATTCCCATTTTTGATAAGGATCTACTTTTCCCCATTCCTATTTCTTTTGCGACGTTTCTATTCCAGTCCTTCTCTCCGGTTCCCGAGTAATCTCCGGGTTCTATATTCGAAGTTTGAAGGTTATTTTGATAAACGAGGCTAGGAGCTAACAGCCGAGTATCGCAGAGTGTTCCACTATATGCCCATGTTGCGGATCTTGCCGGTACTAAAAAGCCATTTGTTCTCCCGGTTCCGTTCATGAATGTTATTAACGGAGGTTCGTTACACTCCCCTTCTGGGAAATCCCGCTAAGCCCCTGCCCTTGGAGCCGGTAGAGTCGCGCATGCCCAAAACTGTATGCTAATAATTGGCTCTTGTAGGATCTCATGCCGGAGGTGCGTTACCAGACCACATCGTATAATTTCCCCTTTCCCGTGACTTACCGATAAGCGTGATGTCCAGGTCGTCTCGCCTTCCAAGAGTTCATGATTGTTCCCTGTGAGGCCCCGAGCTTTACCGAGGCTATGAGGCAGGGAGCTGAGGTTTACCAGATCCTCAAGACCCTCACCAAGAAGAAGTATGGTCAGTCCGCTGGTAATGTTGGTGACGAGGGTGGTGTTGCACCCGACATTCAGACCGCTGAGGAGGCTCTTGACCTCATCACCGATGCTATTGATAAGGCTGGCTACACTGGCCAGATAAAGATCGCTATGGATGTTGCCTCTTCCGAGTTCTACAAGGAGGATGCTAAGAAGTACGATCTTGACTTCAAGGTTTGTTGGTACCTATCGAATTGAATCTTCCCCAGGTGCTAATATCAAGACCGGTAGAACCCCGACTCCGATAGTAGCAAGTGGTTGACCTATCAGGAATTGGCCGACCTCTACAAGAGCCTTGCCCAGAGATACCCAATTGTCAGCATCGAGGATCCCTTCGCTGAGGATGACTGGGAGGCCTGGACCCACTTTTACAAGACCAGTGACTTCCAGATTGTTGGTGACGATCTGACTGTTACCAACCCCATCCGCATCAAGAGGGCCATTGATGAGAAGAGCTGCAACGCTCTCCTTCTCAAGGTCAACCAGATTGGTACCCTCACTGAGTCTATCCAGGCCGCTAGGGACTCGTGAGTTTACCCCCCTTTTTCCCTTTATTTTGTGGGGGTTAATAGATAATAGATACACCGCTGGCTGGGGTGTCATGGTCTCCCACCGTTCTGGTGAGACTGAGGATGTCACAATTGCGGACATCGTTGTCGGTCTCCGCGCCGGTCAGATAAAGACTGGTGCTCCCGCGAGAAGTGAGCGTCTTGCCAAGCTCAACCAGATCCTCCGTATCGAGGAAGAATTAGGCGAGCAGGCCACCTATGCTGGGAACAATTTCAGAACCGGTAAGACTTCTCCTGAAATCAATTGTTGCAAGCACAGACGACTAACTTGAAACTGCTCCAGCTGTCAACCTTTAAATTTTACCCAGTTCAACATATGTCGGGGACTTGGGGACAGTTTAGATAAAAAATTACTTCCCCGAACCTTAATTAAAACGATGCATAGCTATGAGCAACTTCCTTACTTCCGCAAATTACAGTGATTAAATGATAACCCTGACTCCCACTAGTAGTTGTTGGATGAGGTGGGGAGAGAAGGATCATGGAATATCACCCGGATAAGTCCAGTGGTGCCAAGTGTAGTCCATGGTACCGAAGTGGTTCACCCCCTAGAGTATCAAAAAACAAAATTCTAGGATGTAGCCGCTCATATTGAAGCAATGCCAACACACTTATTACCACCATCCAAGCTCTGAGCCCAGTAGAGGAATTCCATATAAACCAGAAGGAATATCTATCATATATCCACCTGGCTCAAGCGCCAGCTATCTCGTATAAGCAAGTACAAGCACGGATAGTCACCGGGCAGCCCCGCCACCGATCTGCTAGACCAAACCCACTACAATCCAGTAGTGGTGCAACAGGTACCAACCGAATCTACAAAGCAGCCCCATACTTTGTTACCCAGAAGTGAAACCATAATATGACCTCTTCTACTAATACTCCCCTCGGTCCAGGTCCCACGGCTGCCCGAGGCACCACTCACGCCCAACAGAAGAGAACGGGTCCAGAAGCGGTAAATAGGAAAGTCAGTGTTGGTGCCATGATAGCTTCCCGCCCGACAGATCGCAGTACGCATCATTGTGCCCCCGCAACAGAGAATCTCTAGAACCATCGAGTACATACGGCATAACATTCCAAAGCGGCTCCCTCCAAAAGCGTCCGTACAGTATCATACACCGGTCTTTACCGGTTATCATATTTCACCTCTATTCGGGAACGCTGGTACGGGCTGTCGACCCACTATATCTATCGGACGGGACGGCGACAAAAATTCTGAGGATGATTCTCTTGCTTGCTTTTCTCTGTTCGTGTTATGATAGATGCTGTACTGTACCAGTACAGTACAGTATAGCACTCGTTCATGGATGCTCACTCGCGGTTGTGGGGGAAAAAAGGGGGGGATTGAAAAAAACTATATTATCATACGTCACATCGTACATGCGAATGTGCCGGATTGATATCTTTCCAATCCCATCTATCGTATATATATCATATTCCAGCCTAACTTATCCGCCCGATCCCGACTGATCGACCGGATGTCCACTCATGTAATCCCGGTCAAGATGTTCATGTAAATGCCAGACAAGACAGACGAAAGCCCCCCCCCACCCCATGTATGATCATCATAGATAGGTATCATGAAAATAAATTACGTAGAAAAGGAAAATGAAAAAATGAAATAAAATAAATCACCAACACAATACACACAACCACCATCTAAAATACAATAGAAAAGTTCACTCAACAACACTTTTAAGACTGAGACCCTCCAAGAACCCTGCAAGATCCTCTTTCTTGACCTCCACGACCGTAGCTTCGAACGCGTCGATTCGGATGCGTGCGTTGGTGCTCTGGGCTACTTCCTGGAATGCCATTCCGAACCTGTTCCGCCCGGAGCGGTATTCCAGCGTTGCGTCTTCGTCGTCTTCATCGTCTGAAGAATCATCTTCCTCCTCCTCCTCCTCCTCCTCTTCCCCTCCGTCTTCCCCGACTTCCTTCCCCTTCCCCTTCCCACTCTCCTTCCTTTCCTTCTCAGCTTTCTTCTTAACCCCACCAACTCTACTTCCTAATGTGGTACCCACAACCACATACACCCCCCTCCGCTCGTTGAGACTCGCAACGACCAGAGGTAAATGCCGCTTCTTCCTGTGCTCCTTTTCCTGCTCTAGAATGGCTTCGCCAAGCCATAAGGCTAACTTTGATAGTGCGCTGGGGTGTGCAAAGGTTGAGACGTCGGGGCCTTCCTTAACGACTGCAAGCCGAAAGGAGCGCAACAGACGAATTTGACGCTTTTCAATTAAAGCAGTGCCGGTTCGTAGGATAGCACGGGTTAAATCCATCGCTGTTGGGAGGGCGGTTTTTAAAGCTTCAATGCTAGTTAATGTTAGTCAAGGTGAGAGGGAGGAGGTGAGGCGGGGGGTACTCTTCGAGTGCATCGTAAGCAGCCCAGAAATTAGCTATCCAACTTTCAGACTCTCTTGCCTCTTCTTTGCGGGTTTCGTTGGTTGGGTCAGGGTCCACCAGTGCTTCTGGAGCTTTACCAGCGGATGAAGATATTGGTGTGATTGCTGAACCGCTGTTGGTATGGCTACTACTACCTCTTCGTCCCATCTCTAGAAGACCGCCTATGACATATGCTACATCCGCCGCACTAAGGCATCCTCTAAACCCCCAGCACCTGACAAATCCCTCTCGTACAACACCTTCGAGGCCATACAACGGAGCGTACTTCTCTAACCTCTCGCGAAGACTCCGCTTCAAGTCCATGTCCATGTGTGTGTAGCTTTGCTTGCACTGACTAAGGCTAAACCCCATCTTTGCCAACAACTTGTGCAGTCGCTTCCGCCCAGTCTCTGACCAGATATGTAACTTGGTCCCCAAGAACGAAGAATGCAACATGGAGTCGTACAAGGACCAATGACGGATGAGCATGAACCTGTATTCCGGTGATAGCCTGATGGCGGTATCGGACGGTGACCGGGCTGTAGTTTGTAAACTGCTACTGCTGTTGCCTGAGACATTGGAGGAGCCCGGGGGTGGGGCCTCCGGAGGATTCAATCTGCGGACCTCGTCTCGGAGGACTCCACGGATTTGGTCTTCTCGAGTGGTGCTTACCCAGCCAAGACCTCCTGCTTTCCTTGGTGGGCCAGAGGTTATCCCTCGGCCGATGATCTCCCCGGAGGAGAGACCCACAATGGCCAACCAGAGGAGGTCATTGTCCTCACGACCAAGGTCGGAGGCTAGGGAGTAAAGGAGACCGGATATTGGCTCACCGTACCAGGTTCCCTGTGTGTAATAGCTTGCAACGGTAGACTCATGCTTTGCTCGTAGACGACGGAGTTTTCTCCGAAGAAGTTTCGCAGATGGTGGAGGACGCTCGGGTGGTGGTGGGAGTGGTAATTGTTGTGAGGGTGAAGAAGGCGGGGAATGCGAGTGTACGGGTGGAGGCGAGGAGGCGAGTGGTTTGGAGGAAGGGTATGAAAGCAGTGTGTGTCCTTAAACAATGGGTAAAAATCCCCGGAAAAACTTCGTGCGTGGTAAAATGTAAGCGCCCCCCAAACAAAAGTAAATTAACCCAGTAAAAAAAAAACCAAATCCCTCCCCCGTCCCTCCCCCCCCCCCCAAA